GGTTAGAGTCGCAGGCTACAAGGTCTTGGGCTCGAGTCCCTGACATGACTAAACTCTAGGTTAGATTGAAGAGATTCGCCATCTATCTGTGATTCTAAGCGTAGGAATCACGCGGTGTGGTCACATCAAGTGGAAACCAGGACATTGCTTAATAAGCATAGCTTCAGTGTCCTGAAAACTACCTTGTTATGTGAGTTAAAAAGAAATACGACTTACCTAAACCGATGTTACCTAGAAGAGAATTGTACCATTAGCAAGAATCAAGATCGTGTCTCCTGCATTATTGCTTCGCTTCGAACCAACTGTTTCAATAACTTTTGAGGGGTTTAAAACCCCATTCCATTTCATTTTGCACCCTGCAAGTGATGATAATTTTCTTCAATAAGTACTACATTTTCTTTATTAGGAGATTATTAGCAGTCATTCAGATATTGTATTGGGGGCAAATAGCCCCATATCTCATAAACGGCCTCTCACCTGACTAAAGAACGCCAATATTCGGATACTAGACCCAAAAGTTGACCAAAATAGTGTAGTCTTGTAAATTACCTCTCTTGGTGGTAATACTCCCCTTCTGCTACCGGACTATTTCTGATGGGGTGTTTCTATAATTGATCATCTCGAGTTCGTGGAGCTATTTCTCAAGTGAGACGAAAGGCGCAAAAATACAATAGCGGCAAATATCATCAAGATTTGTAAATTCTTCTGTAGATCAAACAAGGTCCATTGTTACTCAACGAAATTCAGATTATCATTCTAAAAGTATTTTGCTCTATTCTAAAAGAAGTTTTACGATCTAAATAATGTAAGAAATAATGCTTCCAACCATTTTTCGCTGGCTTGCCCCCCTGAGCGATTTGAGCTAGTTATCGAACCACAGAATTCAATCATGGATATCACCCTCTGCACAGCTAGTATTTGCGCCCCTCGTTCCATTGTTTATTTGTGTTATACACATCTTATGAATTTTGTTTGCTTTAAAGCAAGTTTGGCCTTTTAGGTTTCATGAATCCGAGTCGTGTGACACGTCATATGAGGGTTCATAATGATGAGAGACCGTGCGTCTGCGACCAGTGTGGAGAAACATTTAAGGAGCCCCACCATCTTTCGAGGCATATGCACCTTCACAGTGGCTTAAAACCATTTAAGTGCCCGATTTGCGAAGACCGGTATTTCATACAGGCTGGTAATTTGAAGATCCACATGAAGACACACGAAAGAGAAATGGCAGACTCGAAGATCACAATTTGTGATGTTTCACATGAAGTATCACTCACATCCACAAACCAATCAGCAGGTGAGATTTTGAAAATGAAAGCCTGAGGGCTTCTTAGCATTTTGATGTTTATTATGTAATTGCTAATTGCAGGATGAATGGTGGGGTTTTAGATGTTACCCTTTTTTATGTAAAGATTTTCAGAACGAGGAGGTCCTTAAGTATTGAAATAGTAATGATGAATTAATAGTAGACTACATTAAGGGATACATTAAGTTTAGATTTATAGTAAGGGGGTTTATAGATAATGCGTAAAAGAGACAAAGCTTGTTGACTTTGTCTAGCTAAAAAGAATTGTGCCCCATGCTGTTTGGTGCCACTTCTAATGTGGCAAAAATATGCCTGGCAATAGGTTATTGTTAAATTTTGCTTTTGTTTTAGATGAAGAGTTGTCAGGTGCTACTGAAGAAAGTGAGACAGCTATAGAAGAGTTGCTGATATCATCTGACGGAAAATGTGATGCTAAAGATGGTGAGTCGTCTGATCCAAATTCAAAGGAAGCTTCGATTGAAACGGGAAAGGCTGCTGCAAATGAAGATGGAGACTTGATGCCCAATCTTGTAAGAACAAATGAAAAAACAAACGAACCTAATGAAACTGCGGTGGAATCTAGTGGAGAGGTTTTAGATCCAGGGTCATCAGAATTGGCACAGAATTTAGTAGGCAGTCAAATCGTGTTACAGATTGTACAAAGTGAAGATCAAGATTTCCAAGTACAAGGTTTTCAAGCATTAACATCTTTAGATCCCGAGTTGTTACGGCAGCTGGCAACATCAGTCGCCCAGGAGATGCAAAGCCAGTCGTAAATAAAAGCCAATTTGTTTAGCGATATCGAAACCAATTCAAGAACGAGAGCATAGATGCTTTACGGTAGATCAGCCTGCTCAAATATTGCGCGAAGAATGTTCACGATGTTTTTTCTAATTGAAAATACGATAGGTCAATCAAATATAAAAAAGTCTGATTAATGCTTCATGCTTTCGGTTGCAGAGAGTATTTTGAATTTCCACAGAACAGACTCGTGCCGTATAACGTTCTTGGCGAAAACAAGGTTTGATGTAAGGATAACATCACTTGTAGGCCGTGATATAGAGAAAGTCCTGTGAGTAGACAACATTGACTTGAAACAGAGAATGTGTTTGTGTATATATGGTATCCCGTGAAATGATCTTTCACATAAAAGAATTGTTTGAGTTATGTTATTTTATTGCACAGCCTTGACATTTGTCTTTTATTAGTCACTGTATTCTGCACTAAAAGTTAAAAATACTTTATTTCTCCATGAAATAGGAATGATCGACCTGGCACAAACTGTCTATTTGAACCAATTCTAATTGGTTACATTTGAACGAGTTGGGTTTGCATGATCAGTCATTATAAAGTGCTCATTTTGGTCATATCAGGGCAAAATGATTGCTATAACAGTACGTTTCAACCGCTCTCTATTTCAAATAGAAAATTTTCGAAACAACCGTGTAGTTTTAATGAAGCCACTGTTTGCCTACTGCTCTTTCTTAAGATGCCAAGACGACTCTTTCAGTAGAAGGGACAGATTAATAGATATAACAGAAACGTGATATCACAAAGAATTATTATTAGAAAGGATTTAGAGATAAAGGAAATGCAACACCCCTTTGCAATAAGCTTTAGTTCTTATTTGAGTAAGCATATGAATTCATTACTTTTATTTTAAAGTTTTCGTAAGCGTATCCATTGTTGTTATACCACTTAATCTTTTAGGGTTTTACACAGCCTAGGGATATTGTTGTATTTCGGAGATAATGAATGGATGTAGAGTCCATTTGAATGAATAGTGAAATGTTCAACTCCTTTACTTTGTTATTCGAGTACTATTCGTAGCATATTTTCAAAGATAATAGGTCATAGGTTTAGGATACATTATATTAGCCTCAGTTCTCTTAAATAAGGCTTCCTATACAATGCCATCTCCTTCAGGATCAATTCTCTAATCGTGGTTTTTCCAACTGAATTGTGTATTCGGTTTGGTCCTACCTGTTGGGAAAACATTTTTGGAGGACCGCCGGTCGAATTTTACACCTTATGTCGAGAGGATAACCAAAAGAAGTTTTTTGATCATTTTCAACTTGCTGTTGATATATTTTTGCTGAAAATCAAAGTATGCAATGATGAACTTCAAAGCAACAACTAACGCATCATTGTTCCATGAAATGCCACTTCTTTCAATGACCTACAATGTTAAGATTAGACAGTTGACAAACCTATATATACCTACAAACGGGTTAAAAGCTGTTTCTTTTTCTCAAGAAAACAAGTATTCCACGAGGGCCTACTTTGCTGTTTACCCACAAACTGTAAATGATTTTAACATAGTGACAAGACTATTGCACTGTTACAATGCATCATAATGCAAATCAGTTGTAGAAATTACTTGGAATTGTTGTAATGATCAGTACTGATATCAGACATGCATGTAGTCATATCTTCCTCGTCAACAGTTGTCAATACCAAATTACTCTTCCTAGTTACTAACGCTCTCTAGGAAAATATCAAAGACAAACACCGACTATTCTGTGACACTTTTGTATTGGGATCGCTTTACTAAACAAAATCCTTCTTTTGTCTGAAATCTTGGATTAAATATTTGTCAAGCCGAATAAAGAATGTTTAATGACTGTTTTGTCCAGGGAAATGCAGGTTGTTGTCATAAAGATGTCACCTGAAGGTGAATTTGCTGACGGATCTCCATTCATAATGAAACATCACTGACTTCAAATATGCAGTATTTGGAAGCCTATCTGTCACTGAAATTGTGAGTTGCTTTCCGTAGATCCTTCTCTATCGTTTTAATTTCGGTAGGGGAGGTCAGAAGCTGTTGACATTTGATGACGAAAGGTGCAGGCATTATTGAATTGCTACAAATCTGATGTCCAAACAGGATCCACTAGATTCATTGAATTAGCATCGAAAGATCCTCAGTAGAGTACTCAAGTCGCTTTATGTGACGTATATTGAACGAGTTTATAGTGGTTATCTATCGTTTGAGAGTATTGACTCAATAACAGAGTCTAATGAGGATCGAAGAAGCTTTTTGATCATCTATTTACAACTGGGTGACTTTTGCAGTTGTGCCTCAGTAAATCACATCACAGCATTGCCTCAATTTATTGACCATTGTGTGAAAAGTCTAGAATGATTTGCATTGAAATTGATTTCCCGAAGATCATCAGTCCTTCCACTCCAAATATTTGTTGTTCATGAAGTCAGGGCTGTATCTTCCTGCAACAAAGGAGGTGATAACGCTTGATCAACCATTTGCTGCTTCACAATGACAACAGACAACACGAGCTTAGTTAATTGCATCCTATGACTAGTTTTGGAATGACTGTTTTCATCCACGGCTGTATTTTTTGGAGCAAACACAGTAACAATAAAACACAAACCTGCTGCAGTTGGGTTTTCTTGTGCTCGAGAAACATTTAACTTCTCAGCTGAACATCGCTCGACATGAATCTTATAAGCAGCTGAGTTTTCTTGTAAAACTTTAGCTTGGTGCAGAGTGTATTCTAAGGTTACTTATTTTCAAAACATTTTACAATAAAAGGAAAAACGTTTTGGTTTTGGTCTCGAGTCGTTTGCAGATCATGTCATCAATATCCTGCAAGGAATGTTACGATGCCATTATGCTATCAGAAAGGGGTGGATTTCTGGATGATTCAATGCATTATCTGTCCCTTCACGATGATGAACTATCATTGTTTTCGGTTGAAGAGAGCAAGGAGTACATGATAGAAAGTCCAAGGTACAACTATTTGCCAGACATTAAGGATGAACCATGGACCCCTTTTGACATCCGTCAGACCCTAAGAAAGGTGAGGTTTTACAAAAAATTGCGCTGGTTCGTTGACATCAAAAGCTTCTTAAAAGGTGAACTGACACGCAAAATTAACTTGACCTCAAATGAAAGCATATCGAGCATAAAAACCTGGGACATTGTCAATTTTTTAATATTCAACACAGTTTTTGAGTTATTGCGTGTCAAAGTTCGCCACCGAACAATTTTCCGAGTATGTACGAGTTTGCCCGAGCCTTCCGCATAATCGTGACGTCACAAACAACGTGTTCAAATCACTTGAGCAGCACGACAGTCTGGAAGGCCGCAATTTTATGATTTTGTGGAATAGCATCGATACATTAATGAATAGGTTTTGGTTCCATTTCGACAGCCTGATTGGAAAATAAACTATAACTCCTTTGCAAACCTTTCATAATAAGAATTGCAAGAATTTGGTATCATTCAACGCGTTTGAGGCCCTCTTTTATTTTGTAAAATACGGCTGCTGTAAGACTATTTTATCAGGGCTGCCCCCTCCCCCTCCCCCCCCCCCCCAGAAAAAAAGTTGACTTCGGTCTTTGATCCTGATTAACTACAATATAAGCAGTAAAGATTTCGAATTTAAGTCACTCATTTTCGGCGTATTCTTTATTCAATCACGTCAAAGATTTTAAGGGGTAAAGAGCCTGGTACGATCAAGTCGTTATTTGCAGGAAAAAAAATGCGTAAAAATTTCAACTTCCAGGCCGCTGCACCCCTGTAACGCGGGTGAGCCGATGGGTTTACAAGCCCAAAATAACATCCATGATTTATTTGGATGTAGAAATAATATATCAAAGTAATAATATTTTGGATTTATTCGAAAAAATTGCAAGATTCATGATAAAATGAAAAAATGCTAACATTCGTCCGCATGATTGACTTCAGAATTGAGAATTTCTTCGAGCAGCTAAAAGTGCCTATTCCTTCCAAACTTAAATTCCCTCCTATCATAACGCAGTACCAGCCAGCACATAACCTTCGTACATTTTATTTGCCTCGAATTTTCATGTATCTTGGATCAAAGGCTACGTAGATCTCCTCGAATAGTAACTGAACAAGTTGAACTGAACTGTCCAGTTCGTGCGTGATTTGCATTCAAGGAATAAAAACATGGTGTTTGTGACGACAATGGTCGAGCACTCGACGATTATTTCATGACATTTATAGCGGGATTGCGTCAAAACGGACAATAACAATTAACCGAAAACTTGAAATTAAGATTTCTTGTATCGTTCTCTGCATTATATCAAAAAACATTTTTGCGTGTCAGTTCACCTTTAATGCAAATTTTTGAACATGCCGGTCTACATAGTCATATTTGACGGCTGGCCTTAACGTGGTTGGATGAATGAATAGATTATTGACCGTGGGTACAAGAACATTCATGAAAACACTGTTATTGATTACCCTTTTTGAGAATTTCTCTGCTTCCCAAAATTCAGAATTCATTCATTCAGCTCATTGGCAGTTATTGAAAGACCTTTTAATTTCAAGATCCACAGAAAGTTGAAATCTGTTTCATGCTCATCCTTTGATTTATTAAAGAAATTTGCTGCATTAATCTCAACTTTTTCAGATTTCAGTAATCCAACTATCCAAACTATCTTGGTTGTTTCTTTGGACATTTGGAGTTTCACAATGCATGACCTACAAAGGCAATCATGAAAAATAGCAACAGCTCGAAATTCAACCCTTCGCTGTTTAGCCTAAGTTAATCAGAAGTCAGCTGTCGAGTAAAAGCAGCGTTCTGGTGATAGGTAGTTTAAAAAAACTGAGCAAATTACAAAAATTCAAGATTTTTATGTGAGTTATCATAATTATTATCCAGAACAGATAATTATCTGCTTCTTTTCTTGACACTGGTTTTTTCTATAACTTCTTGCCAATTATGTTACTGCACAAAAACATCGTCTATTTGCCATGTCTTTTCAAGTCCAGCAGCTGATTAGCGAGCATAAGCTGAAAGACCATTCATTTAGAGTTAGGCGATGCTCATTGTCTGTATATTTGATGAATAATATGGTTAAACGTACTGAGCTATTCGCCAAACTCTAATTTTTCGCTCGGTGAAATGTACTGTACGCTTGGCCCGGCTTTAGCAACCTCATTTGCAACCTCATTTGCATATTTTGACGCAGTGCTTTGGGGGCTGAAAACTAATGAATATGCTTCCCATGTCTGCTTAGATTTGACCCTTCCACGGAAGTAACTGAATGATTACTATTTAAAAGGCAGATATCCTTCGTTCGTACTTCCAACTGAAGTTCCCCTAATAAACTGTACGACTAGACTAAATTCAATAAAGTTTTTACTAGCTATTTTACCTTTAAAGTTCAATTGCAAAACATATCCCTATAGTTGAAAAAGGTTACGAAATTCAACGCTATAAAATCTAATTTTGACATGACATGACACGACACGACATGACACAATATGACATGACACAACATAACATGACACAACATGGCATGACATAACATAGCATGACATAAGATGACACGACATGAAAGGAGAGGACAGGGCAGGACATGAAATGACAGGACATGACATGAAAGGAGAGGACATGACATGACATGACATGACGTGACGTGACGTGACGTGACGTGACGTGACGTGACGTGACGTGACGTGACGTGACGTGACGTGACATGACATGACATGACATGACATGACATGACATGACATGACATGACATGACATGACATGACATGACAACAATTTATTTTGGATCTTGCGCTCAATAGATACTTTACATTGTAGGTATCTCGGTTGCGGAACAGAGAGCACCTTTTTACAGACAAAGCAATTACAGAGGTATCTAGGATACTAAAAATTCTACTTACACGCCTAGCGAGAGAAATCCAAAGATTTTCAAAGATATTTAACGTGTGTACTAGAAATGAGGTGTACTCAGCGACGCAAGTTATCTTCAATAAAGCTGTTTCCCGAGCGTGCATTGGAAACAGTTACCAGGCGTACTATCTATACGTCCATTCCATTAACAGAAATACTGAAAAACACCTCCGCATGTCCAAATCAGAGCGATCTGGCCTGGACATCTCCGTCGGAAGGGTCTTTAGATGGATGGTCAGGAATAATCTTGCCAACCACATCTCTGATTCAGCTGCTGTGTATTTTACCGCTATTCTCGAATACCTCATTGAAGAAATTTGCTACCTGAGTGACCAAGCGATAAGTATGCATTTTATGTTTTTACGTGTTTGCATTTGAAATCGGTTAACAGTAAAAAGTTGCAAGACCATTCAACGAATTCCTAAATACACAGAAAGAAGGAGGCATCTTGTCACATACTTAAATCAATTTTAACCCAATACCCATCTGATTCTGAAAAATTGAATAAAAACTAGAATGCAATCAGATGAGAATTGACACCTGGCTAGATATATATTTTTTTCATTTCTTTGATGGTATTTAACATTGTTATACACAACAGTTTTGAGCATGTAAGTTAAATGTACCGTTGTAATTTGCCTAGGTAGACGTTTATAGGTAATTTAGATCCACAAATGTTACACATGCATCATATTGCCAATTGGCGAACCCATAGTCCATTAAAAATAACATGAAATCTCTTAGTAGTATGGACGTTCTACTATCCTGATTCTCACAAAGACTCCGAATTTGAAATGGTCGACGATTTAAGCAAAGCAAGAAATCAGATTAAAGTTATCATCTAACATATTTTCAATTATTCGTTTTCTTCTCGTGCACATGTTCCTTCTTTTTGAGAAATCCCGTATGCGCCTTCACCGCATCCAATACTGAATATGGGAATACTTAGATACGAATTCTTAAAGAATGCATACCTGTGTGTTGCTGTTGTTTGTGAAGGGCCTGTGTAACGGCGGTCTTTAATTTTATTATCTTCAGGTTAACAGTACTTCTTTGTGCTGTTCATGTATTAGTCTTTACCTGTATGGTTTGAAATATTCTTCGATTTATCTTAAGTTCCTAGATGGAAAATTCTATAATTTTTACCTCGTTTGAGCAAGTATGAACAGTTTCTCACTATTTCAGACAAAAAGAAGGCTGGACTGGTTGCAAACTACAGTATCCTTGCCGATGATATCATCGTCTCACTATCTGGGAAGCCAGATATATGGAGAGCAGCTCAGGTCTACGAGCATTTATCTACAGTTAAATGCACTGGAGAGTCACCTTTTGATCAGCCTAAGGAAATGGTATGATCAATGTTAAGTGAACGCTTAGCTGTAATCACAGTTGTATGGGTTTACGAGTTCTCACTATTCATTTTACTGGTAGAAAGCGGATTTTGCTTTGGTCGATCACTATTAGGCTTCAGTTACCAATAAGACAAGAGAATGTTACCCGGGTTGATGGCCAAAGTGATTATTTACATTTTAAATAGACTTTAGAGAAATGTGGTGGCCTGATTTAAATATTGTTTTCTTTTTATCGTTGATGTATTACCTTGGTGTTTAGCTACTTTCTAGATTGCAAGAATCAGATCTTTACCTCATGATATTGCAACCGATTTCTTGTCCAGTTTTTCCAGCCAGTCCGCAGTTTTGTCAGAGAGGACAACAAAACCTGCAACACAAAATGCTTCGCTTCAAGAGAAGAAGTTGCGTCAATCATAGAGAAAGCCTCGGTGTTTGATTTGCCAGACACACCTCGCCATCGCAGCGTTAGGCGCCGCAGTAGCCCAGCTATCCTACACAGCACTAAAAAAACTTCTGATGGTATACCATGGACTAATTCTGCAATCGATACACTCTTCGAATTTACTAAATGTCCTCGGAAACGATTTCCAGAGGATGGAGAAACTGATGATATATCCCAAAGTAGCCCAGTTCTAGAAAGGTACTGATTAATTTTATTCAGATATTATTTTATTTACTTTCTGTATCAGTTAATCTTTTTTTAAAAAGAAAATAATTACGATACAATTTTACATTCATACCCTAATTACTGTACTACACTACGAGGACGATACCATGAAGAGCGAAAGACAATGACTACCCCATGGCCGATACATAAAAACGCACAACATTAAACAATGATAGAAAGAAATATTACTAAAACTAGGTGAAGTAATTACGAATACAGATTAAACAGACAAAAAGTAGATGCTAATGTATAGCAATGCGAAGCAATGGAATATTTAAAAGTGTTCTGAAGCATGAATGAATTTGAGCGTTGCTTGAAGTAGCTTCTAATTTGTGTCAGTGTTTAATCGCTCGTCACCATACAAAATGAATTTGCGAAAAACTTGATTTGAAAGAGACGGAAAACAACGAGGGAGCAATATTGCATTTACACTATTGAGAAGATCAGATCTAGGCCCATTATACGAATGTCAGAGCAAAAGGGAATGTTCCGTGTCCTCTACTCCATCATTTGCAGAAAACAAAGGGTTCAATGTATCTCTAAAGTTATGCCTAAATTTATGATAATTTAGTTTGTTCAGTCCTACCCGTAACTGAGTAAGAATAGCTAGAACTTTTGGTTCATGAATACCGTATACTAGTTTAGGAGTGGGTCGGATAATTCGATAATTTTGTTTTGAAAATATGTAGTGAGAGTGATAACCTAATCTCTGGGTCAAGTGTGTTCCATACAGAGAGACAGTCGGGATAAAAACTGGTCTTGAATCTTGTCGTTCTTGCCCTTATCTGCCCAACTACATCTGCGTTACGAAAAGAATACACATCTTGTGGTGATTGTGGAATAGGGTATCTTGTGTAGTCAGAGGTAATATCGTTGATAATCTTGTAAAAAAGAATCAGGCGTCTGCTCCAACGTCGTAGGCTTAGGGATTCCCAACCAAGTTCCTCGTAGAGTTTTTCACGAGATCTACCTTTCCATGCTCCAGTCACTGCTAGTGCAGCAGAATATTTTACTGCTTCAAGTTTTCCCATATGATTATTCAGTTAGTTGTTGATTGCATCAATTAGTTGATTGCAATAATAATGTCATTTGCATTATCACCTTCAGAAATCCACTTGCCTTATTTCCAGCACAGAATAGAAAATGTCTATTCTGTGCTTCCAGTGTCTACCTCTGAATGGCTAGATTAGCTTTGATTATTATCTAATTGCAATTCGGTAGTATACTGTAATCTTTTTATTGTCACTTAAAATGAAACTGTTGAGTGTGGTCAGTTGTATTAACTGTTGCATGCTTAACCTCGCATATGAGCTCATTTTAAAGGCTTAGATTGCTATAGCCACAATTTTTCAAGCAAAATTTGGTATGGCTGTTATTGAATAAGATTGTAGCTATTTACCTATTTGTTTTCCAAATAACTGTATTGTTTAAGTCGATTTTTTGCCACAACTCAATTGCTCACTTGCTCAATAATGGAGTTATGATTCATTCAACTAACGATATTTGCCCTCCAGCCACGTTTCTTTTTTCATTCACAATCAGTGCTGTTTCCTATTTACGAAGTGTTATGCTCTCTTTGTCTCTTGCAGCAATCCTTGTGAGGATGCACATCCTATAAGCGAATGGGTCAGAGTTTGTGGAGTATTCGCCAAAAGCAGGCTTGGAAAATGCATTGATGCTGATGACGTCAAACAGGCTGCGCGTGTGCTCCTACCTAGCTGTTTTTGCCTCGCAAGAGAAGCCTGGTATTGCATTTTCTTGAACTATCTATCTCGCCGTTGTATTAACTTTTGTCAGTGGAATAGCTTGTAAACATGTGCTGCTTGAGATTGCTCGTTAAAAAAATTCCCTATTTTGCCCTTTTATTTTCCCAAAAGTATCTCCATCATTTCCCATTGAAAAGTACTTTTTCACCTATTACTTATTTGAAGCCTCCCCCAGTATGATCAATGGTGCATACCCGCAAACTTTTATTTTACCTTAAATTGGTAGTAGTTTGAAAATTCTTTTTTGCACTAGAGCCCCCCAGTAAAAGTTCCTTAAAAGATCCCTGAATATCAAAGTATACGATTTACATCTTTTAGCAATACTGTCTCTAAGTCACCAAGATGAACTAAAGTTCAAAACGTTAGAAATTGCATAAAAGGCCACTCTTTATCTGGAAAATTTACAGGGGTAATACATCAATTGCTTACGCACGTAAGGGAACCCTGTGTCGTTACAATAGACATAAATTTGACAGAGTTGTATGCAAATTTCAAGAACAGGTTAAATTCAATGTTTTGATAATCTTGAAACTAATTTTGTTAGATGGGTAACGCTAGGTTGAAATGTTTGCATCGTAGGCCAAGTTCTGAATCTTGTCAGCCATCTTTATCACAGCTAAATGAGGACGAGATGGTTAATAGCCCAGCCAAGGCTCACTTGAGCAACCCATTTTTCATGAAAACATTACTTGATTCCAAACACGATGGTGAACGAAAAAGGATTTTCGCACAATACTCATCTCAAAATTTAAACAGACATGACTCAAAAGTAAGTCCTTGTCCTTGACTTTAATCAATATTACCCTCTTTTCTAATGGCTTTTAACAATGGTTCTATTCAAACAGGGCTTGCTAGGGGTACTGTATCCCTAATTTTGGGTTTGTCGGTACATGCAAAAATTGTTTTAGATTTTTAAGTTTACTATCTATTTCACCACTTAAACTTCGAAGATAAGTCATTCATACTAGGTACTCCATTTATGCCAGACAAATTTTATGTGTATTTTTCAATGGCCCAAGATAGTACTGGAGTCAGTTTGGTTACGTTGTATTTTTGCCACCAGTCACTCCTCAGGAACAACATTTTTGTAGTCAAATCTAGACATCTGATGTAGCACCCTCCAACTGTTTTCTTTGGGTTCATCCCTGCCTTTTAACATTAATTATTATTGGTCTCTTTTTCATCCATCAGCCGTTATGGTCAAATACTGTAGCTAGACTTTGCATAGATGCTCGGGCCTAAAATGTTTTATTATTGTCTTAAATGACGATTCCATCATTTTTGTAACCTTGATATGTATTAATTGATTTGCGATATTGAAATAAAACTTACTTCATCAAAATCTCTTCGTCATCATCGTCATCATCAAATTTCTCTTTTACAATGGTGAATTTCTTTTAGTTGAGACATGATCGAATCATGTGAACTTTTCGTTTATAACATGAAACAATTTTATGAGGATTAAAATTCTAAGTAGGATTGCTAAAGCTGTGACATTTTCGGTTCCTTTTACTTTCAGCTTTACGTTCAATGTTCAGCGTTTGCTTTTATTGTTACTTTTTACTTTTCTGTTCCTTTATTTTAATAAAAGCTATTTTCTTTCAAAATTACTAGGGAATGACAATTCTGATGTACGCCTCTTTACACGGAAACAAGAGCCTTTGTAAAGACCTTATTGAGAGAAGAGTTAACTTGAATGCGAGGGTATTGCTGTCCTACGAGGCTTTATATGCTGAACTTTTTAAATTTAATTCTCGCCGTATGAGTATTGCTGTGAAAGGCTTGATAAAGTCTGGGATATGGACGACATTGCTTAATATTTGAAACGTCCTATACCGCAAGATTTGTTTTTAATTGAACAAATGTTAAATAGAGTGTTGATATTTACTTTCAACTGTATCTTAAAAAATGCATAGTGATATACTCTTACAGTATAATTTTGACAAAAGTTACCTTTGATTACATTGAATTTTATTTAATCATTTCAAAGTTGACCACTCTATATACTACTCTATAAAAACCATTAAATGATGAACCTCTTTGTTTTTGTTTGAATACATGTTGCTGTCCATCTCCATGTAATATCCACGGAGGCTATTTTTCACGTGATATTGTTAAGTTATCTGTCAATAGTGAAGCAAGTTGAATTTATCTGGGTCTTGTTATTGGAATAATAGTTTTTAATCAGACTCTTAATAAATGACATTCAAAAATTTGATTCCCAGGTTCCTTTTGATGCGCAAGAAAATGATTGCATTCCGGCAACAATCAAGGGTTGGAGTGCTCTGTCTTTTGCGGTCACATCGGGACATGGTGAAATTGTCAAGGTGTCTTTTGATTTTGCTTTCAAATTTTGAAATTCTGCTAAAGAATTCTTAAAGCTTTCTTTAATTATTCTAAATAACTTTGTGATGCAACTAATTTGTGGACTTAAGGCGGGCTTTGAATGTAGAATTTCAGGTGCTGATTATGATGTTGACAATGAGAAGTTACGTTTTAGAAAATGGGTGCCGGCTGCGTGATACAGTACCCCAGGTACATACAGGCATTTTAGCTCAAGGAGTTTCATTGTGAAATGTTGGCACTTTTGCTGCTAATAGACCTAAATATCATCCCCTGCATCTCTTTATTCTCAACATAAATATTCAGAATATTTTCTTCCATATTCTACGCTTTTTGAAAAATATATCTTGACAATAATATTTCTTACATTGATAGACGCTGCTTGAAAATGGAGCTATACCGGATGATTTATTTATCCCTGGAGCTGCGGACGTGCTGTCGCCTTTGCACTTAGCTGCTGCAGCCGGTATTAAAGCATAACAATACTCAAATGAACAGTAGAGAAATTTCGCCAAAGAAACACAGAGCAGATCTGAATTAAGCTAGGAAAATACTTTTGTTGTAAATCAAAATGATTTCTTTATCAAAGCAGCATGCTTGTAGTGAAAACTTAGCCAGTGTTCAGAGAAAACTTAGCAGCTTTCTTAGATGCAGAGAAAGCTTTTTGACAACTTTGGCATCAAGGTGAAGGTTTTTATCTGTAGTTTGCTGTATAACACTACTGAATGGTATTTTTTATTTATAGGACAGTTTACAATATTCACACAGCTTCTATCTAAGCGTGTAAACACCACTTTGGTGAGCAAAGAGCTGGAAAATCACGGAGCTCAAGATGCTGATGAGAATTTACAGAAAATGCATCTTCATGGTCTTGCAGCTGCCCATGGTCGAAGAAGAACACTTAGGAAACTACTGTCTGTTCCAGATCAAATTAGAATAGAAAAGCCAGGAAAGAGGGGAAACTTATCCCTTGTAGAGGCTCTTTCAGAGGAAAGGGGTACGTGGCGTTAGTCTGTATCGTATCATCAACCTTCATCCTTAAATGGATTTCTTATAGAGAGAGAGACAGAGAGAGAGACAGAGAGAGAGACAGAGAGAGAGACAGAGAGAGAGACAGAGAGAGAGACAGAGAGAGAGACAGAGAGAGAGACAGAGAGAGAGACAGAGAGAGAGACAGAGAGAGAGAGAGGGAATTTAAAGTGACTCAAGTTCCAAATATTGCAGCACCTGATTGTGTGACTTTAAGGTATGACCTGATCATAAACCTGATGGTATCATACAGCTATCTGTGATTTTGATTCTTGATCATCTGAGGTAACTGTTTATTGACTGCGTTTTTTTTGTCTAGAGGAAGTTCCTGAAGAAGAAACAGACCAAAGTAGAAGGAAAATTTTAAAGGTAAACAAAGGCCATTTCTTGTTTTACCATGTCATTTTACCAATCTTTTAGGTAATGTTTATCTATGAAAATTAGAATCCATAAGCCCCTCCGTAGAAAATGCGATGAATATTATAATCTTTATATTTGCTTTGTGCATTTCAGGAAGCGATGTATGAAAGTGCAGAGCATGGCTATGTACATATTGCATTAGAAATTCGAAGTCTTGGTATGGTTACAATCGTTTTCCCTATCACTTACCTGCTCAAAAAGTTTTTGATTATTATCAAAAACTGAATTGCATGTAGAATGTATGTAATGAGAGTAAAACGCCGAAAAATGAATTAATGTGAAAGAAATTCATACCACGTAATTTAAGTAATGCAAGGGAAAGATTGCAAATTTAATCGATTTTATGTTTTGATAAGACTTTTTAAATACATTTGTATTTGTTTTTGTATTTGTTTTTGTATTTGTTTCTACCAAGCAACCGAAGGTAGTTTTAGGACACTGAGAAGCTTATGCTTATCGAACAGTGTCCTGGTCCTTTCTTTCGATGTGTCCAACTGATTTTCCATATTATGAGATATTTCAAAGTAAACATTCAGGCTATATGGCAAAAAGGAAAGTTTATGAAAGTAAAATATATTTTATATGGTTTTCGTACGGTTAAATCTAATACTGGAGCAAGTCAGACACGTCATATTCAATGTTGCAACCAATGATTATAATATTTTAATTATTAATATTATGCCTTCAGTAATGGATAGCCATCGTTAACTAATTGAGTGATTTCTCTTTTATGAAATCTTATTGTGTGAGCCAATGTATTTGTAACTGAGATCTCTTACTTACAGATACCCCCTGGAATTACCATACGTGGATCACTACCCTCGCGTATGCCCATGAGTACAACGATATGGAGGCAGTCCAGTGTCTGCTTCTTGACTTCCCAGATATCAGTGACGCTGAACTATCCAGCGGTATCAATGAACGTCATGCCTGCATGTTTTTTGAAATATTTCGTGATAATCCGGTATGAATTTTTACTCTGTTCTTGATGGGCATTTTTACTGTTTATAAAGTTTTGATTTTTCAACTTTCAAGAACACATGGTATCAAATATATTGTTACCCTACTAGTTTATTGGTAATTATAGCTAAACATGTTATACGTCCGCTATTTTGTCCTCGTTTTTGTTCCTTGTATGGTTTCATTGATCAGAGTTCCATCTTCCCTTCCTCTGACCAAATTCTTTGTACTTTTTTGGAAGCTTTTGCTTTGGGTAATTTTCAAATGTTGGAAACCAGGGATTTTTCGAGCTACCCAGTCCTCCAGCTCAAGGGTGCTCCAAGGAAATTTTGAAGAACTTGTGACAAAATAATAGAGCATAGTGAAAAGTTCTGGCTGATTTGTCCACGATCCTTTGCAAAGATATTCTTAGGATGAAAATTATTTTCCCCAACAAACTGTTTTTTATTATCAAAGCTACAATCCTTGCCAAAAGTGTTGGAACACTTGCGCAAAGATAAAGCTTTTTCGAAAAATCCCCCCTACCCCCATTATAATGTTGTTCAATTTGGCTGTTCTGATGCTGAAGGTAAAACATTTTTCCCTGAAAGCTGTATGAAGGTGTTGAGAAAATAAATCAACATTGTACGGGGGGAGGGGGTCGAGATTTTGGGAGCGGCAGTGATATTTTGGTAAGGTAGTTTTAGACATGCTTTGTTAATTTGCATGCCGCGATTGGAAGGCGTTCCAGCAAGGATTGTAGCTGATGTTGAACACTGCACAATAAAAGTAGCAACGGTTATTTTCGTAAACCTAAGATTCTCATTTTTGCATTTTCAGTTGCTTATAGATTTTCATCATCATACATGTGAATAGCAACAGAAAATAATATTCTCAATGATTGCTTTTGATTTCGACAGTCGTCCAGTATTCAACAAGTTGCATCCATTATATCTATGTTTTATGGTGAAACGCCAAAAATAGATGTCAGAGCCGTAGAAGAAGACCACACAAACAATTTACCAAAAATAGGTAATACGTATTGCTAAGGAGTTCTTAAATGATGACGTCATATAGCCCAATACGAATAATCTATAAAGATTCTAAATGAGTTAAAAGTTTTACAAATTGACCTCTTTTAAAGAGCGTTACACTTCAAATATACATTTGTTCCAAATTATGAACAATGTTTCGATATTATGTTTAGAGATAAAAGTTTGAGAAAATGTTAAATAGCCATCAACAGATACTTTGTTATTCTTTTCTCTTGAAGCAATAAAAGAATTGTTGATTAATGATTCTTTTGTATTTTTCGCTACATTAATTGATAACTCGTTGAAACGTAACCGATAAATAATTCTTTGAGAAAAACATTTTGAAGATAAAAAATTTTGAAATAAAATCCTTTTTCGATTTATATGGCTGTAATTTCTCTTCCAAGGAAATTATTCGATTTTGTCATTTTGTCAATTAAATTTTTTATCAGGAAATCAGAACCAGTTTAAATGATCTCGCTGTAACTTTTTCTCAAATTTATCTACTCTGATGGTCTTTAATTAATCATTTTTACGTGTTTTTCAGGAACAAAGTTTGTCAACAGCAAAGAAATGGCTGATATTATTTTCAATATAGAAGGAAAACCCTTCTATGCACATAAGATTATACTGCAGAATGCTTCAAAAAGATTAGAGGTTTGTTTGTGCATTTTGTTCGTCACAAATTAAAGTAGCTTTCATGTTTCTTAATTAATACAATATCATTATTTTCTGGCTACTCCTATGAGAATATTGTTTATAACAATTTTCAGGCTCAGTATCACTAATTTTTTATGAATATTGCTCAGCATCAGCTCACATATTTGTGTCTCATATTTCGACAGCTGCCTGCTTTGCCATGCTCATGCAGAGAATTGCATGGCAAGCATATCTCTTTTTTCAAAAAACCTTGTTTCTATTGGAAGTCAGGCAATTTAGGCTAAAAACGAAAAGACTCTAAATAATACCGAAGCTGGAAGAAATTTAGAGTATCCTTTCTAAAGATAGCTGTAATCGTTTTTAAAACAGGCAAAATGACATGACACTAAATCAAATGAATTTTGAATTTGTTAAATTTCCTCAGTGTGTTCTGAGCCTAAAGATAATATTTTTCTGTTGTTATTAAGTATGGAAAAGGGAATCTTGTCTTTATCTTTGAAGAATCTATTTGTGTTTGCTTTACATTATTACTTTTATCCGCGACTCTTCATTTTCTAACAAACTGTTTCCTAAAACAATTTTTTTTAATTTCCAGCAAGTTATCTAAATTAAGCTCAAAAATTGAGCATTGACAATAGTTTCCAGACAATATTCTCTATCTAGAACATTTTTGTATCATGCTATTGATGCATTTTTCTTCATCTGTTCCCAGACAGCTCAAACCAATATGCTCACTATCAGCTAAAATATATTTTGTCCCAAATGCTATCTCAAATTATTCTTCGATATATTCAGGAATTGACAAGATGTGTAGATGACAAGGGAGAAGTGAACATAGATGGCATTAAATACTCTGTTTTTGAGGTACGTTGTACGGATGGGAACATGACACATTTATCTCCTTTTGACTCTGAGGTGATCAGGTCTGATCCGAATTTGAGTCATTTGAAAATACAATGTAAGCAGAGTCCCGGATGTTGATGTTTTGGCTAACAAGAGCCATTACGGTAACGTGAAGTCAAAACGCCTGCACCATGGTAACAGCAGAGACAGTTTCCCTCTCTGTCCGCCCAAAATTTAGCAATTTTCTTTATTTAGCTCTTTTTCCCCTTTTCTTGGCTCTTGGTCTCCTTAATCTACATTGATTGCAGGTATCTTGTTTCTGTTTCGTTCTTTGTGCCATCTATTTGCTTCTGTTCGTAAACACGCCCTTGAATTTTTTTCGCTAGACCTTATCTTTTATAGCATGATGCAGGTTTCCATTATACAGGGCTAATTACTGGCCTAGCTATTTAATCAGCATTTCTTATTTCTAGGCTGCGATGCAGTTCTTATATAGTGGTGGCGTATTGTATCAAAGCCAACCAGATAAGGTCCTTGAGGTATTACAATCCGTATCACAATATACAGTTATAAATCATGATATATGTTTTGATTTTGTCATCAAATTTCTGTCTAAATAACATAATTCTGATTGATGATGAAAATTATGAATGATAAATGAAACCCTGGGAAAAGTGGTGAAAGAAGAATAAGTATATAAGAAGCCACATTACTAAATAGAAATCACTTTGTCGTTCTATCAGTTTTACTTCTCAGTATGACAGACACGTGTGCCTTACCCTTCCTTCTTCCATTTCACCCCTGAATATGATTTATTTTACCTAATTCAACGCAAATCTGATCTAGAGCAATGTATTTGACGCAGTTATGATTTCTTTTTCTCAGTTGCTTGATTGCGCAGCCAAACTTCAGCTACCATCATTGAAGCAAACTTGTGAATTTGAAAGTGCAAGACATATGACATCTTATAATGCAGTCGATGTTTATTTGAGTTCAAAGGCAAGCACCCAAATAGTTTTTTCTTATCAAATTCGAGCCTCCTTTTTAAAATTAGTAAGACATTCTAAACAAAGTGTAAACCTTGAATATAAACAGCTGGCTTCCTTTTGAGTTTTCTGTAAAGTCATGACTTAAATGTAAGAGTCTTGATATTCTAGGTCTCTAGATATTTAGGGTTCTCTGGAGAGACAGGCACTAGCAGCCTCCCTGTGAAGTTCTTGGATTGCCCTGGGCTCAGAAAGCTAGTGGTGGGATGATGCTTGAAGAATTCTTCACAAAACAAACTCTTGTAATCCATTATCAAATTTAATGCTGCTCGATGAAGTTTTTTTGAACTACTTTTTCTAGAGAAAAATTATCAGTTTTGTATCTTGTTATTGTGTGCAATATGCTCTTTACCAATGAACGGAACTTTTTCGCAGTCGGGAAATAGGGGCCCATCTCAGTTTTTCCCAAGGGTCGCATGTGCTTTCGTTACCCGTATCAAACTCAGAACATGGAATGACTCTGTTTAGGCAATCTCTCAGAAAATTCATGTTCCATATTTATTTTCTCCTATAGCGCATTACATGTTTTTGCTTTAATTTGGCTAACCAAATGAATGTATATATATTCTATTTTCTAGGCTTGCAAGGCATATCAGCTAGAAAAATATTGCTATCACTTCTTCCTTGCCAATCTTTCGCTTATGGTTTCAAGAGATGAGTTTGTCAACTTGCTAGACAAAAACAAAGTACGATATATTTTAGTTCCCTTGTCACTTTAAGGCATTGCCTATTCTGTTATGTGTTAATGGCTATTTTTTCAGATTCAGATGTAAAAACTCGAAGGAATTTCCTCATAAAAGTTTATTTCGTTTTCTTCGTCTTTGTTCAATCGATTTACAATAGCCGCCAAAGGGATTACGCTTTAAAAGGATTCTCATAACAGAGACTGGGCACAGGCAGAGGCGACAAGATCCTAAACCAAACGAGGTACAAGGAAACAAATGGAATATGCGTCTTTATTGCAGATTTTAATGAATTTTTTACGCAACTCTGCGAATATACATCAGCTTCGTCCACCATTCCATGTTAGTTTGCCTAAAGCTGCAAATTTCTCGCTGCAAATTTCGAACTTTACGAAACAGAATTTGATCTATGTCTTTATGTGTTTTGCCCAGTAATCATTAACCTTATCAGTAATGCATTGCGTATAAGCAAACTTGACGAAAGTATTTTGTTAACAACAATTCCCTTCGCTTCAACACTTGCGCCAACAATGAGATTCTCCACTTATTATCCTATGTTACCAGGGTTTTGTGTTCAGTTTTTGCGACTGACAGAATGAGAATTCGTTCTCTTCTTTTCCAGAATATCTTTGGTTATCTTGAGCAAGAGTTCCTGCAAAGTTTGCTTGGAAAACAGACAGACAGTGCCAACATCGTAACCGCAACTTACCTATGATACAAACTCAAGCTTCTTAGTCAACTGGGTAAAAGCATCGCCCCTGAAAGATTATGAAAATGGAATATCCAATCTGACATGTTAAGTACTTGAAGATTTATTAAATGATAGTTTCATTTAAAGGCATGTATCATTCTTTCTCTGCTTGTTCCCAGATTTCTACTCTCAGAAAAACATGCTGTGTCCAGAGGCATAGCAAAAGAGGGCATGCCACAGTAGGGCCCAAGCGACGACTTTCATTTACAGCAATCTTGCTTTTCATTGTTAAACCTTAGATCTCTGTATAAATAAACTTTAAACTGGTGAAAGAAATATCCTCCCTTTAACTACATAATCCATTACAAGAAAGCCCAGTAGAATCTCCTTAATGCCAAGTTTTTTAACTTAGACACATTCCTTGCTTTATGCTGCTAGGCACAAATTTGAGATCCTTGTCCACAAAACATGACATTTTTGGCACTGAATCACAAAAAATTTTTGTCAACAAATTGATGCATAAAAAATTTCTATCCTTTTATTAAGGGATCTGTTTTTAAGAATCATTGGGAGTAGAACCATAAATTTAGTAGGAGCTGGATACAAAAAGACACTTGTTTGATTTACTTTTTAAACCAAAGATATGTGATATGAAATGATTTCTAGAGTAATAAAATAGTGCTATTATGTACTATAATTCTGAAAATGCTTATCTTTATATACATTCAAATATTCAACATAACAAAACAATTAAATATAAAAATATTAAATATAAGTCCCATATTAATGTGTATTATTCATGATAAAAACTTTATGGTGGATGATAAGAAATACATTTACAGTTCCATCTTTGTATAGGTGCTTTTTCCATTTAATTGTGTTTCTTTTTAATATTCTGGATACTTTTCATGTAGAAGCTGGCTGTAATGCAAAGGCATATCTTTTCCAGTGGAATAAATTTCACAGTTTGGAAGGCCATTGAATAATATTTCCTTCGGTCCATTCAGAAAATAATATAATTCTGAAATTATAAGCACTCTCAATTTCTGGTGTGATGTGACAAGAGTATTGGCTAAATTTGTTTGAATGGGAAGATTTTCGTAGGTGTCAAACAGATTGAATATTAATCCCTTTAACTTTATTCTGATGTCAAGTGAAAGATACTGCAAATCTCTGCATTTTTCAAGCACTGGGATAAATTGGTTGAATAAGGTGGAATCAGTGACAGTAGTTGATTCCTCCTCTACCTCTAATGACAGTTTTTTGAGGTTCACTAGAGTTTCATGTATAGCAACAAATATATTGCCAAGAAACTCCCCTTTAAACATAAGTGAAAAACTTGTCAGATTTTTGAAACCATTTCTGATTAGGTCTTCCACAGATCTTGTTGATACAAAACTTTGCTTCAAGTCCAGCGACACAGTTTCCAGATCTGGAAGGGACTTTAAAAGCATCAATGAATCTTCAGGAATTTCTTTTTCATAAATTTCTAAGCATCTGATCTTTTTGCATTTGGTTACAATTGCATCAATTATTTCTCTGTGTGGCCATACTTTTAATGAAGTAATTGTGGAACAAAACTTTGAAATCATTTTCAGGCAAAATTTGGAAAAATCTCCATCATAACCAAACTTTGCAGCAATGCTTTCAATTGATTTGCAATTTTCCAGAATAAAACTTATATTAGGATCTAGAATTATGCCTTTCAGCTCTTTCAAATTAACCAAGGCATCAGGCTGTAGATTTTCTGCAAACCAATCCGAACTTGCCAAAACAGGCAGATTCACTTCAAGTCTCTCCAGTTTCTTTAGTGACTCTACATCAATTATTGGGAGCAATGGATAAAAGGTACTAGACACTCGTAGTGACCTTAGTCTGTCAAAGGTAAAGGGTTTCAGAAAAGCCCACCAATTTTGAAGGAAATCGCCAAAAATAGGATCCGCAGTGTTTGTGTGCAGTACCTCCAAACAATGTTGATGCTTTATGATTCCTTTAAGAAAAGTCATGAAAAACATTTTGCTGCAGTAGTCTTCACACAAAGTGAGTCGAAACTCTCTCAACTTCTCCTGCCTCGACAAAAGCTTATCCAACAAATTCTCGTGGAGTTCAATTCGGTCTATAGTTAGGACTTCCACCTTGTTAGTAGCTTGTATTAACTGATTAACCAATCCCTCTAACTTTTCTTCAAGAAGCTTTCCCGTTTCCTTCCACTTGTCAGACAGGTTTCTTGGATAAACATGCGGGTTTCGTTCCCTGTTGTCTTCACCAATTATGTTCCCGTGTAACTCGTCAACAATTCTGTTGTAGGCCGACCATGTTCCATCGTGAAGAAGCGTTGCATTGATAGTAACACGCTTAAAGCTGTCTTGTGACAATTCGTTCCAGGCACTGCAGGTTAATGCTACACTGATTTTGTCTGATAAGGGTAAATAAAATAACAAATTATCAAAAATCAACCTGGAATTAATAGTTTCCCACATCATTTCAGAACTGGCCAAAAAAATCCACGTGCTGCGGAGCAAAACTTGACGCCTTAATCTCTTTCCCAAGCAGCCTCCCGAAAAAGTGTCCTCTTAGACTGCGTCCTGTCTTTCCTTTGTGGAACAAATCTATGCTACAATTTCATTTTTAGCCAACCCTCACCAAATAATTTGCAAAATATACTCAAAACCACAAATAATTACCTTGTTCTTGTTTTTAAGTATGTTTAGCCCTGTTTTAGCCCCCTCAATCTGTAATGTGCTCCGCGGTCCTTGGGCAAAAAACAATCAAATTTACTAGACAATCATCATCAGTATAGGTGACATAACCAGGAAAATACAAAATTTCAATTTTCATACGTTCAAGAAATGAGAAGGAATACATTGGGCAGCGCCCCCCCCAAAAGTATTAGCTGGAGAAAATTAGTTTAAGAATAGAAGCAAAAGTACTTCTTTCCATACGAAAATGTGTTTTCGGTAATTCGGTAATTACTCTCATGCATTTTTGTGCCCGAGTCTATAATGATTTCTCAGAAGATTTAAAGGTTGAGTTGGGTTACTTCAAGGCAAGCTCAAAAACACTCTGGACCCGTTTAAACGGTCCAGGTATTTCACAAAGAATTCCTCCCAACATGAATTATTGAGTCGTTTGAGCACCTTCTTGGTCACTGTGCATTAACATTTGCGTAAAAATATCCCTTGGGTCATTGCACAAGTCTCTCTCTCTTGTGTGGCCAGTGTGTTCTTTGCTTTAGATGACGTCATTGAATTTATTACGTTATCAACAGCTAGCAAAGAGAAATGAAATCAAATTCTGTACTAGCTTTGAGAATTTGTTCACATAGAGACTGCTTTGATCTCTTCTAACATATCTGAACTCTTTTACAATGATAAGTAATAAGACAATAATGTTAGGAAAATAATCAACAGGATGAAGACCAACCAAACGCCGGATTCCCAATCATCAAAGTCAAGAAAAGTGACCAACGAGAAAAGTTCGTGTATATTAAACATGCTAATGAGATGTTTACAACCAGTGGAAATTTGTGACTCTTAGATGAGAGAGGTGGCATAAAGTTCTTCTCTTTTCTTGGATGATGTACATATTATAGGGATACCTTTTCTTCAAAGGTTTATCTCCGGAACTTCGAACATTTGTTTTCACTCAAACAGAGTGGCGTTTTGTACTCAAACAGAACTCTGCTACTGTAAATTTTCTAAAGGCTCTAAAACCAAGCAGGCTTGTTCTCATGGAAACGATCGGGAGACTCCATCGCTAATAGTTACGTTCCTGCGTTGAAACCGCGGTTTGTGAAAGAGACCAAGCTTTACAAAGATGGCGTCAATCGACGACAGCGATGTACCAGGTAATGTTGTCTTTTAACGGTTTTTCTACTTAATTTATCAAGAAAAGCAATGAAGTTTCTACTGATCAGTCTATAGAACAATTATTCGTCGTATTATCAAACGTTTAATTGTATTTTTCTCTCACTTAGTGATATTTTTAAACAATGCTCCAAGAGTTTGTTTTCCTCTTAGAGCATAAAAACATTAGATAAACAGCAGCTTCCAGCCTCCTGCTTGAACTTGTGGACCAAGTGTATTCACACTTCACCCGGAGACGAGTCCTATTAAGCCAAATGGGTCGATTTCTGTATTTAGAATAGTGTATGGATCTAATTTTCTTTGTTATTTATTTAAATATAGGCCTATTTCTAATAGATTCCTTGTTTGACTCACTTCCTGTACATTTTTTTATAAGAACAATTTTATAAAAACACGAGCCTCAAAAATGGTCAAAAGTTAAGAACAAATTAAGAACAAGCTGAGGCTGAGCTTCTACAAAATTCAATTTTGAACACAACATTTTTTCTCAAAATCGAGGATTTTTAGCGTTGAGTGGGTGCTTTTTCGGTGAATATTCAAATCTGTCAGCAAATTAAGTATGTCTCAGTCACTTTGTTGGCAAATGAGGCCTGAACACCTCCTTAGAGCGAAAAAGCTAGCAATAGCACTGCTTACACCCTCTTCATTTAAGAACAAATTAAGAACAATCCATCCTCAGATTTTCGAAAAAATTAAGAACAGTCAGCCTGAACTTAAATTTACTAGTTCTTATAAAAAAGAGTGTATTGCAAGAACAGTTTGACAGTATATCATTGCTATGAAATTGTTTTCGAGCTAGCTTAATATCCCTTTTCAACAAGAAATTGAAACTTTTTGCTTTCGTTTTCAACAAGAAATTGAAACCTTTTCCCCATTTTCTAGAAACTGGTGCAGTCTTCACATTCGGGAGAAGTAGATTTGCAGATAACTTAGCCAATAAGTTCTGGATACGTAATGACAAAATTGTTGAAGTAGCATGTGGTGATGAACATTCTGTTGTTGTTACAGGTGAGCAAGCTTGTTTTAGTTCTTGGATCTTGTAGCAAAACATGATAACTTTTGTAGTTGTTTTTTTCTAGTTCAAAGGCTACAACCTAGTAGTAACATAGTCGACCTTTTAGTCTTTTTGTATTTGCCAAAGTATATTTCAGATATTTGAAATCCTATGCATAATATGCAGCTTATCTCTTTTTATAGGATAAAATAGCATATCATTGGAAGTTATTTGTAGATTTCTCATGAAAAATTTGGTGGCAATGAAAAAATTGAGACCTACAAATATATCTACCTACCCTTTAAAGCCAAGGTTTATATTTATTTTGTATCTACAACTTTGCCATATCATTCTTCCATTGAAGCATTCAAAGATACAATCTTTTTTACAGAAAGGGGTAGGTTATATGGATTTGGCACAAATGATTGGGGCCAGTTGGGGTTAGGTCACACAAATTGTGCAAACAAGCCAAGCTTTATCAAAGGTGAGTTGTTGCCAAATATTTTTTTGGCAGAAGTCTCTCAACTTGGAATAAATATCTAATCAAAAAGCCATTTGTTTAATTTCTGTCAAAAAATTTTTATTTTTTTTTTGTCTTTTATTTTTAGTTGCAGAGAAATAAGTAATCAGTAATTATGAAATAATGTGTAAAAGAGGGTGTTTTCTAAGCTATCAGTGAAAAACCTAAATGTTATCACAACTAGGTTTTTTTGTAGAATATATTGTAAAATAGGGCCATAATCAGTGACAGACACCTGAGGGGCAAGGGGTGGTCACCCCCTTAATATTTTGGAAGACAATTATCTTTTATTCTAAGAAAATTGAAAAATGTGACATAATCTTATAAAAACAGTAGGCTCTCCCCCCAATATTTGACCAAGTGTCCACTCCTGTAAAAATTATTTTTTTTCTATAAATTGAAGGAAAAACTAAATAAATCTCATAAGACCACCCAAACAGAGTATGCTATTGCCCCCCTATAATGGGACATCATCTTATCAAAACAGAAGGCTCTCCCCCCAATGTTTTGCCAAGTGTCTGTCTCTGTAAAAAATATTTGTTTTCAATAAATTGAAGACTATTGAAAACTATATAAATCTCATAAGATCACCCAAATAGAGTATTTAGCCAGATTGTAACAGATAACAAACAACTCTTCTTTATTAGATAGCTATAGATCTTTTATCATAGTGAATTTGATTTTCATTTATTCTTTGAAAGTTGCTTAAACAGTCACTCTGATGAAGTCTTGATTGTCATGGTATGATGTTAGGAATTAAGCTTATTACTAAACAATATTTTGTATCACAAGTCATTCCTCTTCATAATTATTGTTTCTTGTTGATTTGCATCATTTCCTCTTGCTTGATGCATCTTTGTGTAACGCCTTAAAAGACAAGTTCTCTTCTCAGGTACGCATAGATGCCCCTTATCATAAATTTGTGAACTCATTATTCTTGTAGCCCTAAAAGGTGAGAAAATGGTTCTTGCAGCTTGTGGCAGAACACACACAATTGCAGCATCAGGTAAAGTCTCAGTAAATCTTCAAGTGATACACTGATAGTGGATTGAAGCTAGCGCATTGTTAACATTTTCATTACTAGCTTTAGCAAGTTGTTCCATCATGTATGGTATTACTGTCAATGTATTTATATGCTATCTGCCTTTGAGGTGAAGTTGTGGCTTCTGGTAACTTATCATGTTAAAGTGGTTTGTAGACCACAAAACCTTAGCTACTGTCTATAGAATCACCCAATTTAGTATATTTCACTACTCAGTAGAATGGAATATCATTGTTTTCATAACTCAAGAACAGACACAAGAACTTTCTTCAACACCTGGTTCTCACATGCTCCTCATCAAAAATCATGTTACAAGATTTACATAATATTTTCTTGCATGCTCCATTTTCATCTCTAGAAGCAAATCTTTCACTTTTAATTGAAATGGTCTAATTTCAATAGATCACAAACAAGTTTTGCAGTCTTGAATTTGTCTACCATATAAGTCAGACTTGACTTTACTGGTTTTCTCAAGCTAAATTAGAGATATGACCGGACAAGCCATTAAGATTGATTATGATTGATCTAGCCATAAAAGTAAAATCAAAACTGGATTTAGAATGTGATTTAACAAAAATTCTTTAACTCTAGAATCAGGAAAAATTTTCAGTTTTGGGGCAGGAGGTGATGGACAGTTAGGACATGGTGATACAGAGGTAAGATGAAATCTTAATTTTTTTTTGGAATTCGACGGACATGAAAAGTTCGGAGAGGCATCATGTCTTGCTTGATGTCATATTTCTAGGAGAGCATTCCCTGACCCTAGTCGACCTTTGTTCGTTGATGCAGTCAAAAAACTCCTGGATGTGTATGACACGAGGTTAATCGGATTATCTGAACTGGATTCTTCACCTTTGCCTTGGAATTCTTAGTTTTCTTATACATAAAGTATTCAGTATTTTCTCAAAAATAAGGCACACTGGATCAGAAGTCACAATTTGATAAAAGCCACAGGTCCTTGAATAGAAGCCTCAAATAGAAGAATAACCACAAATTAGGAATGGTGTACTTTTTAGTCAGATGAAGGGAATTACAAAAAAAGGGAATATCACAAATGTTTTACATGATTTTGGACTAACATGATAATGATGAATGGTGTATACAGAGGGGTATTACAGAGAGATATTTATCGTATTACATTTTTGTGTAATTGTTTCAAATTATGCCCTCGTAAAATAATGGTAACCTTTCATTTCAATTCAGTTAAAACTAACATTACAAATTTCAATATTACAATGGTAGTTTGCAATTGGCTAGCATAAGTTTACAAAGAAAAAGACTGTAACAAGCACAAACAAACAAAATCAAAGAAAATGAGAGGAGTGTTTGTCCTTTGTTTGTCTTGGAAGTTGTCAGTAGCAGAAATCGTTAGAATTTAAGAAGTTCAGGATTATTTCAAGACTTGTTTCTGTGGCAGAAAATGTAATAGGTAGTACGAAAAGTTAAGTTGGATAGCTTTGAGATCATAAAGCGGAGATGCTTCTCGCTGATGTCTAGAGCCTTGCACATGTCGATGAATGAGGAGCAGGAGAGACCAAAGGTACCTAGGGAACTGATAGAATGATTAACAAACCCGATAGAAGAATAGGCTGAGCCTAGGCTGTGAATGAGATGCCAGTACTTCTCTCTCTTGAGGTTAGCATTAATATCCAAGTTAGTTTCGTACCCTACTGTAAGCTCAAGTACGAATAAGCGATTGTCAGAAGTGACTAGAAGTAGATCAGATAAGGACAGAAAGAGTCTCCTTTTATGATAGAGGGTGAGAGGTAACTTGAAAGGACTACGTAAAGAGAGCAATGGGGTATAGCTTTGAAAGACTGTACTAGGAAGTTTAATGCAGAGTTATGGCGTCATGTGTAACGGCCTTATTCAAGGTATGTTTTGCAGCCTGGCACAACGTGAAGTGACTTAACGAGCAATTAGACGACTGAGAGATATTCCATTTACTTAGGTTTTTTACGTGGCAAGGGGGTTGCTAAGATATTTTATATTAAGACTGTAAATGTTCTTGGGCATGTTGCTTAATAATTATAATGATAAGATAAATATTTTACAGGGTGAACCTTGTCAGTACTATGAGTACTGTTATGCGTAAGGGCCCTGTTTAAGATTAAAGTAAAAATTTAGAGAAAAGTTAAGAAAACTAAAATCATCAATTTACAAAGTAAAAAACCCAAAATTTCCTTCGATTTTTATATTTATAATTTGTTTTTATAAAATCTTATAATAGGTATAAAAACAGCTAAAACCTATGCCGATGTTTTTTACGTCGATGCTTATAGACACTGCCTTCTAATGGAAGCTTATATTCAATAATATGTTTAACTGTTTCTGTTTGTCAAGTTCTGTTAAGCCTTTGTGTCTTTGCCGTTTGCAAAAGAAGAAAAGTGTTGAGGTAAAAAGTCAAAACTAGCCCTGAGAACAACAAAGTCAGAATTTATGTGTTTCATTTATGGTTTTTTATTCTCCAGGATCAAGCTCTGCCAAAGCAAATAGCCGGGCTTCCTTTAGAGAAGGTCAAGATTCTGTCTTGTGGTGTCTACCATACAGCTGTTTTATATGGTAATTTGTTGTGTTTTAAAAATCCTATTCTTCCCATTAAACTGTTTTGAAGTTCAAAAAGCCTCTTACCAAAGATCGCCGGTTTAGTATAACGATGATATAGCGATTTGTTTGTAAATTTTTTTGTTATGCAAATGTAATTTGCATTGGGAAATTTTCCTGATGCTCTCTATACAGTAAATTTAGATTTTCGTATATTTCATAATTCATATTTTTCATAGTTTCTTTTGAAACAATGTAGACATCAAACTGATTGGTTATTAATGCTATTAATATTACAATTCCTTTTTTGTAATATTGATCGACATCGTTGATTATATCATGAATATTGCAGACTATTTACTTAGGGAACTATTGATCGTTTATAATAACATTTATCAATGACCATAAACATGCCTTTAGTTTAATCTTATATACAATAAATAAATAAACATAGTTTAATGTAGATTTAAGAATATTTTGCAAGATTTCACCAACACCCAGTGAAATATGTGCTGAAAAGTCCCTTTTAAATTTTTGTTGCAAAATCCGCGAATTCTGATTTGTCAATAAGCCAGGACGAGATTAAATATTTCTAAGCCGATCAAAGATTTGAAACCTAGACCGCACACATTATCTCCTTATAACAAAAAGTTAAAGTATTCAAGCATTCAAGCGTTGAATATTTTCTCTGTACAGAATCAGGGGACTTATACATTTGGGGTACGAGTGCTGATGGACAGACCGGACTTGAGGAGGAAGAAGTTTTTCGACCGCATTTCTTATCATTGGATGGCAAAGTTTCCTGGGTTGCTTGCGGATATTATCATACAGCTGTAGTAACAGGTAAACTCTTAACTAGATTAAGAAGTAAAAGAAATTTTTCTTTTGTTTTCTCTCGGCATTCTTTGTTTACCATTGAGATTTTATTAAATAGGCATTATGCCGTGAAGAACGCATATGTATTTCACTGTTTAGCACTATTGGCTATCGGCTTTTGTGGTTATCGACCAATCATAACATTAGAATGATAATGCTTAAAGCTGATTAATTAAGACGTTTTGATGAAACATGATTTTCTTTTGGAATAACGTATCGGACTTGCTTTGAGGAGTATTTTTATACAATTAGTTTGTTCGCCTGCTCAGCGCCTATATAGATTCATTATCAAATATTGGTAGGCAAACGTAATATTATTTGTATAAAGAAAATTTTCGGCCTATTTAGAAGTGGTTGGTATTGCAGCTGCATCGTCTGTAATATTCGACGCAAGATTCCCTCTATTTTTTGACATTGACTTAGCACTTATAACTAAAGGGGTATTCATTATCTGTGGCCTTCTTTGCTTAATTGACACTTTATCTAAAACGTTGTCTCAATTATGATTGGTTTGTATAGCAGACACCCAGATGAGACTATGCCTCAATCCGATAGGATTTAACACTTGAATATATATTCTTTAGCTTAAAATTGTTGAAATAATAGTTAAAATTGACAATAGATATTCTTTGATGGTTTTCAAGAGAAATGAACCTTTAGGTTTAAAGGATAAGTACTTTTTAAAGTAATGTGGGTGGCTGAAGAGTGCTCGTTGATAATAGTTTTCAGCTTAAGGGTACACATTTAGGAAGGCAAGCCCGTATAAGATGAAGATATGTTTTCAGAGACATATGCATTTTGTTCAGATAGTCTTTGGCCGTGTAGAAGTACCGTCATTTTCAATGCCCTGTAATTTTTAAAACAGCAATCCTCTAAAATGGATGCTTTATTCAAATGCTATAGGATGTTATTTAAGAGGCTAATAGTGTACTTGGTTGTGCTTTTGTACTTATATTAAGCAAGGCTGGCATATTGGCATGTGGATTTATTTAGGCAAGAGTTAGAAACTAAAAGAACACAAATCAGCTGATAAGATATTCTGTGCTTTAATGATTTCGATATGCTTCGATGATGAATTGATTTTCATATGCAACACATTTTCTACTTTGTTCTTAACGATCTAACTGATTTTTATGCAAATATGTTTCAGAGAGTGGAAAATTATATACATTTGGAGAAAACGAAAATGGGAAGTTAGGCCTAAGGGAAGAACAGCTAAAAGACACATCCAGGCCACAGCCTGTTGCAACTAAAGACGGCAGTTTTACGGCAGTTGCCTGTGGTTCAGGCCATACAATCGCACTCACAAAGGATGGCAAGGTGTATTCATTCGGGGATGGCAGTAGAGGGCAGCTTGGCCAGGGCACTAGGGTTCAAGAGCTCAAAGAGCCAGGACTGATACAACAGCTGAGCCATTTAAAAGCTCGATCAGTTTCTTGTGGAGACTGTCACAGTGCTGTTATCACAGGTTCGTCTTGTCACTTTTTTAAAGGCCCTTTATTTTAATGATAATGAAAAGCGTACAACAGCACTTGCAATGTATACTTTGAATTGGTATTTTTGTACCCAATATTTTCTGTTTCCTAAGAAATGTAAAGACATGTAGAAAATTGTCTTGATATGAAAAAACATAAATGTAGTGACATTATTGCTAAGCACGCGTGACACGAATTTTTGTAAACACACTATTGCTTCTTGAAATGAAGTAACGAGTTGCAGTAAGAACATTTTTCTGCAGTTCTAAAGACTGCGTATTTTAATCCAAGTACGATCCATAGTTAAGGGAATCACCTAATGTCCACCTAGAAGCAAATAAGTATCCATAACTCAATAACTGGGTTCAATTTCTCTCACATCTCCACACTAATAGCTGCTCCCTTACGAAAGGATCGTATACTGGACTCATCGCTGCCTTAATACTTGTTTCATAGATAGCGGACGACTCTACACTTTCGGAGATGGCAGGCACGGTAAGCTAGGCCAGGGTGAAGAATGCTTTTCCAATCAATTTCGCCCGGCCAAAGTTTCTCGTTTTCAAAGTTTCGATGTAGAATCTGTAAGCTGTGGTGGTTGCCATACACTCGTAACTGCAGTACAACGAGCCTCTGAGGCTAGTGATGAAGAAGATGCAGAGGATGGTCTTCTTAACGCGTCAATGGCATCTTCGTTCACACAGTTCAGCATGGAGGAGGCCAACGCTACTATGCGGCCATTCGGATTATCAAACACAGTTCCATTAGTATCACCAAGAGACAGGCGGCGACAGAAAGAATCAGAGGTAGGATGGGCAATGCTTGTTAGGCTCTTTTTTCGAAGCCAAGTAGCACCTATGCATGGCAGCTTAAAACCTTTGCCTTTTGTAAATAGTTTCTTTGTGAGTGAAATAAACTCCTTTTGGAGAAAGATAAGATTTCATGTTATAGCTTTAATTTCTTGAACTTATTATTGTTTCTGCTTATTTATTACAAAAGTCATTTTTTAGAACCTGGCAAATTCTTTCAGTGGAAGCATGAATAAAAGTGGTATGCCAATGCTATCGACATCACTGGACAGGAGTAGGCTACCTAAAATTCCAAATTTAGTTGGTGAGATGTTTTTTCAATCTTCTAGATGGCATGGTTACTGTAAATAATTCTCATGTCAAAGTTCCTATAAGGGTCTGGAATGGTTATTATCTTCTTCATAATAACCTAAAGATGTGAAATGCCTTCTCATAAAAGCAATGAATTCGAGGCGGGGTTTGGTCAAGGCACCACTTTGGTTTTCACTGGCCTTCCTCACGTTGGTCTTGTGACTGCCATGTGTTCTGGTCTTTGGTTTTTAGTATAAAGTCTGGTTGCAATGCCTGTTTTCAAATTATAAGATTATTTAATGAATGCAATGGACACAGAACACGGAAGATCATGAACTGCCAAGTTTGACTTAGGAGCGTCAATCTGACGATAACAATAAAACTAATGCAATTTTATGCGATGCGTAATCGCGGGCAATCAAGTGGTGCTTTTAGGTTGTGTTTTATACTGCCTTGAGAGAAGAATTTCGACATGATAACGCGTCTCTACAGTGAAATTAGGTGATATTCAATTTTTGGAGATCAGTGCTGCGCAGTGATGAAGTTATCTGGCAGATATATGTAATATTTTCAAACCGTTATTGATGATAGTTAGGTTGATTATGCATTAACTTTGACTATCTTCAGCATTATGCGAGATATCTTAAGATTTTTCTTTTGCGCTGAATCTTATATTGGTTGCTCTATCAATTTTCCTATCTCTATGTTAAGGCATGAAAGAGAAGAAAGTGGAACAGAAGAATGTTATGAATGAAGAGGTAACTTTCGTTATGTTCTTGTTTTCCAAATTGCAATCTATCTCCGATCGAGTTACCGTTACCCGTAATTGACAAATTGCAGAATTGACATTGTGATGTTTTATTGCGGTCTTTTTCGATTTCCGTGAATGATGCCTGATCAACAAAAACTGGTGCTATTTTGTGGCTATGTTTTAATTACACAAAGTCTGGAAAATTCTAAAATTTCTGCCGGATTGATCTCTGTCATTCTTGATAATGCTTCGAACAATTTAACCCCAAATGTAAGGTATTTATTTTCACATTGATGGGGGTATTTTTATCATGAGAAAATATCTTGCAAATATCAATTTTTGTAATGTTATATTAGATATAGAACTAATACAACAAAATTTCCATTACGGAGTAGTTACTCTGCCAAAGAACAGTGTATGGGTAGCACTGGGATTTCAAGGTTAATTTCAAGATAATTTCAAAATTAGACTGTCTTAGCCATTCTTTGTCTTTGAGCTGTTATTGTTCAAACAAAAATATTTTTTCGTAGTCTCTACCCCCTGAAAAGCAAGAGAAAGCTAGCAACAATAACATTGAGGATAAGAGCAGGGTCAAGAAGAAGGATCAAGATAATCTTAAAAAGAAACTTGAGGCAGAACTTGAAATTGAAGATAAAGTATCTTCGCAGTCAGGAAAGCTGGTGATTTATTTATATGTTTGTTGCCTGATTACGAAGCATGTTTTATTCTTCTTTTCTCTTTCACCTTTCCCCGCTTGTAAGTGCAATAGATACTTAAATGTGCTAATTTTAGTATAATTTTTGCAGGCTAAACTGCAAGATAAAAAGAAACCTGAAAGTGAAGAGGAAGAAAGTGAAGAAGAGGATGATGAGGATGAAGAAACAGAAGAAGAGACGGAGGAAGAGAATGAAGAGAACAAGACAAAGAATACAAAAAATGACTCAAAACCTGCGGAAGTTAAGAAGTCAGTGAAGATTGCCACTCAAGAGAAGAAAAAGGAAGATAAAGAAGAGGAGGAAGATGATGAAGAAGATGAAAGTGAAGAAGAATCAGAAGAGGAATCAGAGGAAGAAGAGCCTGTCCCTAAGAAAAATGCAGAAACCAAAGTTAGTACTAAAAAAGTTGTCGAGGATACTTCAAAGAAAAAGCAAGCTACAGACATTAACAAGAAGTCAGTAAAAAAGCCACAGGTTGAAGAAGATGAAGAGGATGACGAAGAGGATGAAGATGATGACGAAGAAGATGATGAGGATGACGATGAGGAGGAGACAGGTATTTGCTTCCTGTCTGATTGACATCCCCTTCCATTATAAATTTTTGTAATGGTACTTCCCCTTCCATTATAAAAATGTATTGTAATGGTACTTAACACTCTCTGGACACTTTCCGGACCTTTGATAGCATATTAAAATTACTCTCAGACAAGTATCTGTGACTTGATCAGAAATATTGTTTTATCGTCATTCAACTATTTTGTGCGTATTGAATATTTTCAATACTCATGTATGTCTTATGATTTCTGTAAGCACATCGTTTTTGTCATGGGGGTAGTTAGGACTTTGACATTGGGGGGAAGCCTAAAATATTTATTACCAACACATTGAAATGTAATGGTAATGCACAAACATGTACAATCCAACAAAGTCATGGGAGAGAGGGTAAAGAGGCAACATGTGCACATTATCAAACTCAGTATGATCTGAATGTGTTTTGGTTTAGGGACCCTCTAGAATATCCCCCCCCCCCCCTCATGCCACTCCTGGTTTTTGTGTGTTCTTACTTACATTGGTATTTCTTTGAACTTTTATAGGAAAAGAAGAAGAAGATGATGAAGATGAGGAAGATGATGACGATGATGATGACGAGGAAGAAGAGGATGAGGAAGAAGTTGATGTTAAAGGGAAGAAGAAAAATACTGATAAGAACGAAAAAGAAAAAGAAGAAAGTAAGAAAAGTAAAGGAAAAGAGAAGAAAGGCAAGGATAAAGAAGAAAGTGTTGAAAAGAAAAAAGATGCTGTTGAAGATAAAGAAGGCAAGGATGACAAGGAAGTAAACAATAACGAAAAAGAAGCAGATAGTGCAGACAAAAAAGAACCTCAGCCTACCAAAGTTTCAAAGGTATAAGAGTGTTTTCTATCTGTTTACTCTCTCTTCAGAAGAAATACTTCATGCTACAATTAGATGTGATTTATGTTGTATGAAAACAGGCAATCCTTTTGCAAGATTGATTTGTAATTTTAATGTCCTTATGCTTTTACCGAATGATCAGCAAAACGAAATACATAGGGGTCATAAATGACGTCACCTAAAATTTAAAGATGCAGGGAGAATGATCTGCAATTTATCACTGTTTATTTCAACATAGAAATAAACTGTGGTATTAAAAACAGTTTCGAAATGATCAGAGCGAATCATCAAAGTTAAATTTAGCCTGCTGCGTGCAGATAAAGATCATAAATTGAGCAGTGATCTTTTTTCCCTCCTTGTTATTTAAGCTGTCAGTTCAGTAGATTGGCATGGTTTTCTGTTCATTAGAATTTTTAAGTGCTTTTCAAGGTTTGGAATTTGTTCTGATTTCTACAACTCGAGTACTCTTTACTCATACTTACTAAGTACATATTTGATGAAGTTTTCAATGCTTTGTGATAATTTCTTTTCAGTTTGCAAATTTATTCGGCAAGAAAAAGCAGCAGCCTAAAAGTGATCCAAAGAATGAAAAAAACACCGACGAGGAAACTGGAGAAGAGCAGGACCAAAAACAGGAGGCTTCTGGACAAGATCAGGTAGATGGACCAGCAAATTCAGACGCCAAAAAGGAAACCCCTACAAAGAAAACTGGAAAATCGGGTGTCTGTGTGATTTTATAATGTATTTTTCTTTGCATTTTTCACAACAACTATGCTGCTATGGAGTATTAACATAGTTGCAATAAATTAAATTACCGAAGGGTTTTACGTTAGGTAGCTGCGTTATTGGCCAATTGCTTAAAACTTGGCCACTTGGTAAACATAAAGCCATGTTATAGAAGGGGAAGTTGCAAAAAATACAAGAGTGGGGTTAGATACGAGGAAGACGTTCCGATTTTCACTCAAACGTTATAAGCAGCGTTCAAATTAGAGATGAACATTTGTGTAGCATGGGTGATTCCAATTTTTTGAATTATCTTGCCACTGTTTAAAATATGCTTGCCACTGTTTAAAAACGCCAAGTGGAGCTTGGCGTTTGATGTAAAGGTCAATCCATGCACGAATGCAAATATAAGCCCTGTTGCAGCATCAATGGAGCACACAAGTCAAGGCTATTTTCGCGTGTTTCATCGGACATGCTAAGTTATTTCCAATTTTTCTGTGCTTTCCTTCTCAGTTTTTACCCACAAAAGTGAATGTTCTACGTGGACGGTCGCAAGCATCATTGCAAATTCATTTTTTCTGCAAGAGACATTTGTTACAAGTTAAGGTTTTCCCGGTTAAATGAAACTGGATATGTATTGTGCTAATGAAATCGGCATTGCTCATCCTTCGACTTTTTGTAGCATTGTTTTTCAGCGTTGACATCTATCGTAATAACGAATTATTTTTCTTTGAAATGAAACGGTTTCAAGTTACTTTGTCATGAAAACAGACACATTCGAAACAACCTTGAAGACAGAGTAAAGTAAAAGCAGGGAAAACACAAATCCAAAATTTAAAACCAAATCTAATTGTACCAAAACCAATACCCCATTACTTATCTTCTGCTTGAAAAAGAAACCCCCAAGAAATGGTACATTACATACCATTGTAGGTATGTGGAAGTAATCCCCCCACCCCCCAGGGGACGAAAGCACATCTCAATATCTCAATACAGTCTATGTATGTGGGCCAATGCGTTAGGACTGGTAAAGATAATTTCTCATATATTGTGATAACTAACATGCCTGCACATGCATTTAATTTTAACATGCTATTTAACAGAAAAAGTTACTTTACATAGATAAACGCATTTTGCAAACAGGGTCCTTTAATTATGCCGACAAGTATTATCAAGAAGAAAACAAAAGGCAGCTATTTCATTGACCTAGATACTAAACTGGCTTAAGCCATCTCTCAATAAACTGTTGGCCAATCAATGAACATTTGGGTTGATTATGCTTATTGATTGGCCAATTTTGATTGACAGGTGGCTTAAGCCATATTGGTATCTGTTAAATGCCTTTAATGTTATTTCAACCATTAATGCTTACAGATGCATGAAGTTTTTTGAATACCTTATAAAACTGCCCTGTAATTAAAGAACCAGCTCAAAATATGAAGGTGAAACTTATTACTTTTCTTGTGATAAGACTAGGGCCTGAACATATTTTGTCCTTTACTAGAAATCCTAAATTGCCAGCCTTCAACCTTCTGGAAAGATGTTATTTTATTTGTAAATTGTGACAGATATTATTATATGTAGGTGTAAATACGTGATTTTGAAATTAGTTTGTTATATGGTAACTTAAAATGCTGTTTTCAGACTTATCTTATTGGGTTTTGCATCAAACTCAGTAAACATTCATATCTTTGCCTTATTTCTTATAACTGACTTTTTTCTTAAGCAAACAGTATTTGAGCTGCCCTGTGAGATAAAAGGCTATTGTATAAAACTTAAGATCATTAGATTCCATATCATATCAAAAAAGAAGTCATCTATCTTTGATCATTAAAAAAGAATATTTCGTATAATATAAAAACGAAGTCTTCTTTTCAGTGACTATAGTGACACCAACAAACATACATTTTTGTAGTTTAAAATATCTGTATGAATTTGATTCCATTAAAACGAAGATGAACTTGTAAGATAAAAATACATTGATGTAAACAGTGACTAAAAACGTTACTTAAAACTTCTAATATAAACTTTTGGAATTAATGTACGGAATCAAGTAGGGAAGTAAGGAAAATCTAAACATGGGGAAATCAGGGTACTGTTAAAGCAACAAAGATCAATTTTTTGAGCTATTCAGTGATGTAATGCAAAGGAAAATCCAGAGATTATTTTGAGTGAGCTATACATTTTCAAGATAATAATTTAAAATAGTGAATACCAATCAAAATTCATTTAATAGTAACATGAAAATTGAAAATTATGTGCATCATTATGTTACATTTGGATACAAGTTAATATTTGCTAAAAAAAGTCCATATTCATTTTATAAAAATAGGAAATAAAAGCATCTGACTTGATCGAAATTTATGCAATATTTATAAATGAATTAGAAACAAGCCTAGAATTCAGATATAGCTATCATTTGCTGTGAACAAACTTTAGGCTCATTATCCACAGATGAAAGTGATGCAATCTGGTTTTATAGAAATATACCAAAAAATGTATATAGATAATTAAAAATAGGTACAGCAATATTGCGAATTTGGATACAAGTCTTCGTCTGCAATAAATAGACTTCCAGGCCCATTGCTAAGAGATGGAAGTGAAAGCATTTGATTTTGAAGGTCAATCAATTGCTTAGCTACTGATATAAAAACTTCATTCACATTAGATCCAGTTTTGGCACTAGTTTCACACCAATGGCACATGTACAAATCAGTGAATTCATCTACAGTATTGATATCCATTCTCTGGTCCATATCTGATTTATTACCTACAAAAGTCACCATTACATCCCCACCACATTTCATAAAAACTTCATCCATCCATATTTTTGCATTTTCAAATGTCTCTGGTTTTGTCAAGTCAAATACAATAATAGCAGCATTGGCTCCACGGTAGTAAACAGAGGTAACTGCCTTGTAATGTTCCTCTCCAGCTGTGTCCCATAATTGAAGCTGAAATGAAGAAAACCTTATGAAGTTGCAAGTCTAAAGGACAATAATCTTGCCTCATTATTTTTTAGTGGGACTGTAATGCACATGATACCTAAACAAAATTAACAGTTTACTATTTGAAACCTATAGGTAAATTATACAGGATCGCTGGCATGAAGGTAGCTCTTGATGCAACCAAAGTGTGCGTAAGAATTCAGAAAGCACAATAAAACACAATACAAACAAAACACCGCTGAAAAACCACATACTAAAGTGTTAACTGACATAATAGGCCTTTATTTTGATGTTTAATCAGATCTTTCTTAAACACGTTATAACTCCAGGTGTACAATCCATATGTGCGCGATCAGTTTTGTTTTGAGTTCGAGTTTGAGAGCAACATACTTCTTCTACTACGGTGTTCCTTCTTACCTTCACTTTAAACTGGCCGATTTCGACATCCTTTATATGAAAATCTATGCCAATTGTTGGTGGCAATGAGCCCTCGTGAAACGAACCTTCTTTAAATCTTTTTATGATGCTCGATTTACCAACCCTTTTATCCCCAATTATTATGATTTTAAACAAGTAATCGTATTCACTATCCATCTTTTTCCGAGAAAGTTGTATTGTCTCATTCTCAGGGAGAGGTTTATAGGGAAGCTTGCACAACATTACGCAAGATAAACAGCTTTGTGATGTAACCCCCATCTCTAATTTACCCTTCAATTCAAATTTAGGAAAATGTAAAATTTTAGATTTATAACTAGGTTTTATATAAGGTAAATGAAATGAGTATCCTTACCCTGACGATGTCTAGATTTTTACCGGTTGAAGGGCAGGACCAATTTATATTGCCACGGTCCCAAGTCCCCCCCCCCCCGTGTTTACTGGATTGAACTGTTTTCTGTCCAAGCCTCGATATCACTATGAAGAATTCCGCGCACTTGCCCACATGTGGAACATCCAGACAGAAGAATTCTGTTACACATCTTGGTTCTACTGCGTGTTTTGGGTTAAATTGTCAATTGATTTTGAAGATGAACAGTTTTCAGTTTGTTAAATAGAACCGGCTTTCAAACCGAACACTCTTCAGTTGATCATGGCCAGATTACAATATTTGTTCGACACTATTTCCATTGCTAAGAAGTTGGTCATGCACGTAAACAAACAGCATTTTGCATCGAAAATGCAATGTTTTTACTCATCAAATGCTCCAGACTTTCTTAAATACTCGAAAGAAGATATAAAGGCCTTGGATAGGAAAACACTTCAATTAATTTGCAAGGCTATTGGAATAAACCGTGGAATCAAGGTCAGTGATTTAGATTCATATAAACTTTAATTTTTTGTCCCTATCCGATGAATAGATGTAATAAAGTAAGGCTAAAATGTTTTCTTGTTTACTTTGGTGTTGTGATTTTTCAACTTCGTGTCATCATCGATGCAGGTGTAGAATTTGAACTAGAGTTGCAAACTCATTCATCAGTGTGACATAATACCCAACACCCTTTTATTTATAATTATATTGTTGATATATTATAAATATAGATATATATATACATGGTATATACACATGGAAGTCAATAAATCAAGGGTAAATCAGAACTTATCGCTGGCTCAAACGACTCCATGATAGTTTCTGTTATATATATATAATTTCTGTAAAATATATAGTTTCTCTAGTTTCTGTAATATGAATCAAAAATATCATTGATAAAAATACTTAAAACATTCTAGACATCTGCAATGATTGACAGAATAGCAAAGCATATGGATGAGCAAAGCCTTTCTGAACTCACATTCTTTCCTTTTCAAAATGAGAGTAAACTGTATCAAAAAATGACTTCAGATATGGACCCATTATCAATATCGCTCTCAAGTGAGAAAGTATGTGGACTTGATCGTGTTTATGAAGGGAAGTTTCCAAGTGTAACAACTATCCTCAGTGCCACTAAATCAAAGAAGAATCTTGAACAGCTTGCAAGATGGAGAAACAAGGAACTTGGACAAATGGGACTAAAGAATTTTATCAAGATGGAACAAGAAACATTTGTTTCTGGAACAAGACTTCATGAGGTACCAGATAATAGTTTTTTCTTCAATATAATAATTATAATTTTTTCTTTCGATATTAGTTCTATGCAGTAGAAGATCAAACATGAAGCTGATTTAATTAAATGTGAATTGGTATAAATCAGCTTAAATTTATTGTTAATTACTTTGAATTTATCAATAAAAAAGATACCATCATACCAGACTATTTCTTATTTAAACAATATTATGGAGAATTTTTTTTTTCTTTATAGCAAAAAACTCTCAAGCTTCTAAGTCAGGGTTCACAAAGGCCTTGCTACTGTTCTTTATCACTTGAGCCTCAAGGTCTTGACAAAGGCTATAATATTCACACTGAGTGTTTGTCTTTTAATGTTTCTCTATACATTTGGAAATTCTGTCACTTGTCCTTGTTCTTCTCTGGTTTTGATTCTAGTGCTTGCTTGATTGATTTTTTGCTTCCTTGTTTGCTCAGGCACTTGCTTGCTCTTCTTTTTTGCTTGATTAGTCGCGGGCCAGCTTGGTCCTTTGGGGGTGATTGATTAGACCCATTTTTTGAGTGCTGGCATTCTTTGTGTGTTTGTTTGCTCACTCTGCTATTTACTTTTTTGTCTGTTCATTTCCGCTGTCATGTTAGTTTGCCGTCTTGGTTACACACTTGCTTTGTGGCATGCATGATGTGTTTCCTGTTTCCCTGGTTGCTTGACTGACTGATACTTGCTTAAAGGCATTGAGAAATGATAAAAGGAGATGGTATACCTAAATCGCTGAGTCGTGACTTTCATGCTACAATCCAATTGGCTGGCCTGGTACTGATCACATGAAGTTGTTTCGTCCTGATTTGCAACTTCTGTCAAAAGCAAGCTTCTGTCAAATGCATGTTGTCAACAACCAGTGTCGATATGATATGAATCTACAGCAATCACCGCAAATGCAAGTTACCCCCTATAGAGGAGGCCTACTTACCATGATTCAATTCCTTTAGTTGCTTCTTTGCCTTGTTTATTTGGGATTATTTGCTCACTTGCTTGCTCACATGCTTGCTTCATGGTTACCTCTTGTGCTTTATTACTTGCTGTAATGGTGGCTTACCCAGTTGGCAGCATTTTTGCCCACTTGCTTGCTTAGTTTGTTGATTAATTTAAATGACTAATCGATTGATTCATTAATTAAAGAGATTGATTGAAGTGACTTATCAATTGATTCATTAATCAAAGAGATTGATTGATTGACTGGTTGATTGATTCATTAATTGAATCACTAGACCAGTAGAATTTAGAAATTCTCTTTCAAAATATTCTTTTAAAAACAATCTTAAAATATTTTTACAAAACAACATAGTAATCAATGATGGTTTTTAAACTTAGTCTATAAATAGATGATATTTTTCTGTGGATGACTGATAGCAACTTACAGATGATTCTTTTTACTATTAGAACTAAAAAATTAAGCAGAACGCTTCTAATTTACTAGAGGGTGCTTTCTCCTCGATTAGTTTATAATCTACTGAGAAAGTTTCCTCCTTTAAATAATTCCCTGTTTACAATACTAGCTTGTTTCTCCTCTACTCTGTATTTGTTATGTTACGTTTATATTATTTAACTTCCTTTTACATTGTTTATACTTTTAAGCTTGGATTATTTCTAATTTGCAACAAGTGTATGTATCCAGTGGAATTTAAAATAAAACTGAACTGAACTGAATTGAATAGATTGATTGAAATTATTGATTGATTGAAATGTTTGATTGATTGCTTGTATGCTTGACTGTGTACTTGTTACCTACTTTATTGCTCATGTGTTTGCTTGTGTGCTGGGTTGTTTGCTTGCTAGGCTTACATGTTTACCTACTTGCCTGTTTTATTGATTAGGGTGATGGATTGATTGACTGATTTCTTGCTGTCCTTTTGTTTGCTGGATTGTATTCATATTTGTATTTTTGCTTTTTGACTTTTTGCAGAACTTTTTATAGTGATATTGTGCTTTGATTCATTAGCTTATGTATGCAAATTTTGAAAACAATTTAGTTTGGTATGTTTTATCTTATTTTTATTTCTGCAAGGTGATGGCACAGTGGTTAAATGATTATCATGAGTATGAACAAACAAAAGCTAAAGAATTCAAGCAAAACTGTAGTTTATTTCGCACAAAGGAAGATCGGCTTACAGATAGAGAGAATTTTATTATAAAAACCCTGCAAAAGTTTATGTCACCAAGTGGTGCTGGTATCAGTCGTACATACAACCAAATGGTTAGTCTTATTCAGGTATTGAAAGACATTGACCAAGTACTTGCTGTTGAAAGTTGCACAGTTCATAAAGAACTTATGTATGCCGGAACTGTTGACTGCCTTGCTGTATTCAGAGATGCAGTTTGTTTAATTGACTGGAAAACAACTAAAAGACCAAGAAGAAGTGTGGGATCCTGTTATGATTATCCAGTTCAACTAGCAGCTTATGTGGCTGCAATCAATGCAGACCCTGCTTATAATTTCAAGGTATTGTTATTTGTTTGATATGTTGTGATTGTTTTTTTTAACATTTCATTATAACATCCCTAATATGCCTTGAGGATGAAGATACAGTTGGAGGCAAACTTCCCCCACCTAGCTACTGACACCTCTCCATATTTCACAGTCTGAAGCAAATGTAAATTTTAGAAGAAGATCAGTCTTGCCCCTGGTCCCTTGAAAAGGGTGGTTGCCCCCTTTGCAGGCATCCTTATACAAGATAATAATTGAATTAAGTCAACATAATTTTTCCATCAATTTGATTTTGTTAAAACATTGAAAAGTTACCTTGCACAAATTCGTCCCATATTTGAGCTTTCAATGGCTTGGTAATAAAATAGTCAGGTTTAGTGCAACTGAATATATTCCAGTGTTGTGGAAGTAATCCATTTTACTGTAAGTGTTTATTCTGTTACATATTTATTGCTTGAACAAGTTCCCTAAGCTATAATATAGTCAAGGGCTGTAAAGGTCTATTAAAGATTTTCGCATTGCATCTATTATCCTTGCAAAAAAGTTTGGTAGACTGCAGTTAATTTTGGTACACTACACTAAATTTTGGTACACTACGTCAAATTTTGTTACACTCCTCTAAATTTTGTTACACTACACAAAATTCTGTTAAAACATTTTCCATTGCATCCTCCCATAGGCTCCTACACAAGATGGAATATAGGGAAGCCAAAGACAAATATAAGACTCATAGCAAAATATTTTGCAAAAAGGCTGCATTGTTTTTCAAAAAAGGGGCTTACCCTCTCCCTTCCCGAATGCTGTTTTATGCAATATTAAAAAAAAATTTTTGTTCCAATGGTTTTATTTAAGATATGATACCTTACACTAAAATCGATATAGTGTTTCAACAAAAGGGGTTGCAGTGTTAGTGGTTTCTAATGGAAACAGTTAATCATTTGAAACAACACTAAAGCAACAGGGTGTTCTAAGGTCTATTGGGAGAAATTGTAGTATCAATTTGTATCATTAGCATCTATTTTTGCTATTTTTTCTTGATCTAACTTCTCAACGTGCAAATATGCTATTTTACAATTATTGACTAAATCTACTTTCTTTTGAAATCATTATACATAAGCGTAACTCACTATCAACCGGGGTAGTTTGTTTGGTTTATAAAGATAAGTTACTTATTAGATATTTTTTTCGTCGTCCATTTTGAAATCAGATTTAAATTTCTGGTGTTTTTCGCTAATTCAGTTAAAGCTTTTCAATTAAGTTTTTTGTATCGCTTTTTTCTCTCTTATTAGGTTGAGAATGCTGTGCTTGTTTTTTGTCACAATGATGGTACTGTGGCAGACGTTCACATGTTCTCAATAGAGAAATTACTTCCTTTTTATTACGAATGGCAGGGCAGACTTCAGCTGTTTAAAAGAAACTTTTACGGTACAACGAATCCTGCTCAAAATGAACTGAATAGTGCAAAAGAAGAGACAGAAAGTTTCTGGCGTGATGATGATGACCCAAATAATTTGAACGTTGGAAATGTTTCAATTAGGTAGCGAATGAGGTTGATCTAAATGCTACACAAAACTTGAAGAGATGGCAAAATTCCAGTGGCGTTTCCCTGTCACAATTTTGAAAGAGCGAACTTAGGTATGTGTTTTTTATGGTCTTGTAGGAACGATTTAACCTGTTTTTAGACAAAAAAGTTTTAGAACAGATTTTACAAATTTTTTAAGACTGCAACCTACTTTTTTATAAAAAATCGACCTGCCCAAAAATATTTTTTTCAAAGATGCCTCTTTTATTGCCGAACTTGATTAATTTCTGGTTTATTTTGGTCGTATAAAAGCAGAATAACCTGTTTTTTGTAAAAATAATTTTGAAAATTTTTTATCATTTTTCTAAGCCTATCGCCTCGCCCTTTTTATAAAATATCAGCAAGTCAAAAAACCTTTGCAAAAACAGTTTTTTTTGCAAAATATGGCTTTAATTTCATAACTAAATTTGCTGTTAGTTTGTTATGATTAATATATGCAGAATAATTTTTCAAGAAAAAACTAATTTTTGATGAAAATCAACCATTTTTCTATGCCTATAGCCTTACTTTTCTATGAAAAATTGACCTGTCTAGAAACTGCTTTATTAGAAAATGCCTCTTTCATTTCTGGACTTATTTTTATTTTGGTCTATTTTGATCATATATTTGACGCTTAAGTGAAATTTAATCAGAGCTAATTTCACGAGGGTCTTTTCAGCTTTAACTAATTCGCTTGGAATTTTTGTTATTACTTATTCGTCATGGTCTCTTGTGCCACGCTTTCTCGCATTTTTCTTGTATCTGCCCTACTATTTCATTGGCAATGCAAAAACAGATTGGCAATGTCTTTCGGCCTCCTGAGGATTTGATTTGTAAAACTAGGGTGGGGTGTGTGTTTTGTTGCGTTTTCATTCCCTTGGTTAATGTAGAGGTTTTCAAGGTTTTGGCATAGCGTGGGTCTCACCTTGCTTGCTGAAGCCTCAATTCAAGTATGCTGTTTATTTTGTACGTGAAGTCTCAATGAGAGTTAACTATCAGATGTGTCATATGGTTATTCGCCAGGTATACATTCCTCTACTGATTAACCAGGTATGTTTTAGAACTTTTTTAGATAATGCTTTGTTGTTTTGGCAGTTTCATTTGTTATTGGTATGAATGGGAGCGCTCAAGCTTCGTTCGTAGAGAATTTTTTGTCACCTCGTGCTGCGGCTTTCTCGGTGGGCTTTTCGCTCACAATGTAATTGCAGCCAATTCTGCCTATAGTTCCACACTCATTTCGTTATCATAACTTCTTGGGTAACAATTATTTACGGCTCTTTCGCAATACTATTCTTTATATCGCCAACACGAATAGATAGGCTTAATTGTTTGAAATTTCCTTGAGTAACCGTTATTCTTTCAACTGTTTCTCGCTATAAATGTAAACAGCATCTGAAGTTTTGTTTATTGGTTGTGTTAATGCTTGGAAATTCCAATTTTTTGCAATCTTAACTAAAATTCTAAACTTAAAGTGAATTCAAGTTGTAGAATCTTTTATAGATTTTAGGGTTTGTTGTGTCGGCAATTATTTTCCGTTCTGTGCTATTCATTCGTTGCTTTGGTGCAGCCAGATAACGTTGTAGGCAATTTTCGGCTTTTTACTAGTCTTCCATCAAGGGTTGCTGATAAATCATTTATGCTATCACTTCTAGATTTAAGCCAGGTAAATGGCGACTTTAGCTCGTTATCGAAAAAGAAGCTAGATTTGTTTTCCAAGCATGGTATTTCAAGTTTAGATGCTTTTAAAGAGATTCTGAATAAAGTCAATATCCAAGACCCTTTAGCTTGGTTGTTTCTAAGGAATCTATCTTTAAGCTTTCCATTCACTGGAATGATATGAGGTTACTAGCCTTTAGTGGGGTACAGTGGCTCGGAGATTTGAAAAACAATTTCGAGAAAATTTGGCCATTTTTCCAAGCCTATAGCCTTACTTTTTTATGAGAAATCTACCGGTCTAAAAACTGCTTTTTTTGTCAAAAATTCTTATTTTATTGCAGAATTTAATTGAATTCTGATTGATTATGATAGTATAAAGGCAGAGAATCTCTCTCTAGAAAATGAATTTTCGAGAAAATTTGGCCATTTTTCCAAGCCTATAGCCTTACTTTTTTATGAAAAAACGACCGGTCTAAAAACTGCTTTTTTGTCAAAAATTTCTATTTTATTACAGGATTTAATTGAATTCTGATTGATTATGATCGTATAAAGGCAGAGAATCTCGCTCTAAAAAATAAATTTTCGAGAAAATATTGCCATTTTTCCAAAACTATAGCCTTACTTTTTTTTGAAAAAACGACCGGTTTAAAAACTGCTTTTTTTGTCAAAAATTCTTATTTTATTGCATAATTTAATTGAATTCTGGTTGATTATGATAGTATAAAGGCAGAAAAACATCTCTCTAGAAAAACAAAATTTTGAGAAAAATTGGCCATTTTTCCAAGACTATAGCCTTACTTTTTTATGAAAAATCGACCGGTCTAAAAACTGCTTTTTTTGTCAAAAATTCCTATTTTATTGCAGAATTTAATTGAATTCTGGTTGATTATGATAGTATAAAGGCAGAAGAACCTCTCTCTAGTAAAAAAAATTTCGAGAAAATTTGGCCATTTTTCCAAGCCTATAGCCTTACTTTTTTATGAGAAATCGACCGGTCTAAAAACTGCTTTTTTTGTCAAAAATTCTTATTTTATTGCAGAATTTAATTGAATTCTGATTGATTATGATAGTATAAAGGCAGAGAATCTCTCTCTAGAAAATGAATTTTCGAGAAAATTTTGCCATTTTTCCAAGACTATAGCCTTACTTTTTTATGAAAAAACGACCGGTCTAAAAACTGCTTTTTTGTCAAAAATTCTTATTTTATTGCAGAATTTAATTGAATTCTGATTGATTATGATAGTATAAAAGCAGAGAAACCTCTCTCTAGTAAAAAAAATTTCGAGAAAATTTGGCCATTTTTCCAAGCCTATAGCCTTCCTTTTTTATGAGAAATCGACCGGTCTAAAAACTGCTTCTTATGTCAAAAATTATTATTTTATCGCATAATTTACTTGAATTCTGGTTGATTATGATAGTATAAAAGCAGAGAAACCTCTCTCTAGTAAAAAAAATTTCGAGAAAATTTGGCCATTTTTCCAAGCCTATAGCCTTACTTTTTTATGAGAAATCGACCGGTCTAAAAACTGCTTTTTTTGTCAAAAATTCTTATTTTATTGCAGAATTTAATTGAATTCTGATTGATTATGATAGTATAAAGGCAGAGAATCTCTCTCTAGAAAATGAATTTTCGAGAAAATTTGGCCATTTTTCCAAGCCTATAGCCTTACTTTTTTATGAAAAAACGACCGGTCTAAAAACTGCTTTTTTTGTCAAAAATTTCTATTTTATTACAGGATTTAATTGAATTCTGATTGATTATGATAGTATAAAGGCAGAGAATCTCGCTCTAGAAAATAAATTTTCGAGAAAATTTTGCCATTTTTCCAAGACTATAGCCTTACTTTTTTATGAAAAAACGACCGGTCTAAAAACTGCTTTTTTTGTCAAAAATTTCTATTTTATTACAGGATTTAATTGAATTCTGATTGATTATGATAGTATAAAGGCAGAGAATCTCGCTCTAGAAAATAAATTTTCGAGAAAATTTTGCCATTTTTCCAAGACTATAGCCTTACTTTTTTATGAAAAAACGACCGGTCTAAAAACTGCTTTTTTTGTCAAAAATTTCTATTTTATTACAGGATTTAATTGAATTCTGATTGATTATGATAGTATAAAGGCAGAGAATCTCGCTCTAGAAAATAAATTTTCGAGAAAATTTTGCCATTTTTCCAAGACTATAGCCTTACTTTTTTATGAAAAAACGACCGGTTTAAAAACTGCTTTTTTTGTCAAAAATTCTTATTTTATTGCATAATTTAATTGAATTCTGGTTGATTATGATAGTATAAAGGCAGAAAAACCTCTCTCTAGAAAAACAAAATTTTGAGAAAAATTGGCCATTTTTCCAAGACTATAGCCTTACTTTTTTATGAAAAATCGACCGGTCTAAAAACTGCTTTTTTTGTCAAAAATTCCTATTTTATTGCAGAATTTAATTGAATTCTGGTTGATTATGATAGTATAAAGGCAGAAGAACCTCTCTCTAGAAAAAAAATTTCGAGAAAATTTGGCCATTTTTCCAAGCCTATAGCCTTACTTTTTTATGAGAAATTGACCGGTCTAAAAACTGCTTTTTTTGTCAAAAATTCTTATTTTATTGCAGAATTTAATTGAATTCTGATTGATTATGATAGTATAAAGGCAGAGAATCTCTCTCTAGAAAATGAATTTTCGAGAAAATTTTGCCATTTTTCCAAGACTATAGCCTTACTTTTTTATGAAAAAACGACCGGTCTAAAAACTGCTTTTTTTGTCAAAAATTCTTATTTTATTGCAGAATTTAATTGAATTCTGATTGATTATGATAGTATAAAGGCAGAGAATCTCTCTCTAGAAAATGAATTTTCGAGAAAATTTTGCCATTTTTCCAAGACTATAGCCTTACTTTTTTATGAAAAAACGACCGGTCTAAAAACTGCTTTTT